AGTGATAGAAGAGTAAGACAAGAAAATGGAAAACAGACCTAAATGTTTTCTGCCAAAATATAAACGAACCTATGTCATAAACAAACCCCAAAAGCATGAACCTCTGTCATCAACTAACCAAAAGTAGGTGAAAAAACATCTGAAAATCCTATTAAATAAACTTACGGTGAATGCAGCAGGGTACATCTAAATTTTTTATCATTAAATACAGTCACCTCTTGATATGTAAAAATGTGTCATGTCACAAACATGCAATAACTATTCAAATATATAGTTATCGTATTTTGAAGTGGTTGTTGTTGAATGATAAACATAATTGTACTGTGTGTATATGTTAGTCTTAAATAAAAATATTGGAGTTGACAAATCATCCCACCTAACGCCTACCTGGCCTAATCCCTTCACTTCACATATGAAGTGGCCGGTTTAACTTCAAGCAGATAGATCATCAGTTCGAGATAAAGAAGCTTTTAAGGATTCTTCAATTCTTGAAATAGGGTCACTTTCAAGATGACATGAAAATTATATTAAATAAATTTTTTTTTTTTTTTTTAATTTGAGTCCACATGTAATGCAAGCTTCTTTTGTGGGAATTAATATGCAGCGTTTTTGTACATTTCTTCTTTTGAAAAGAAAATTATTATTAGTATTTTAGTTTTTATTATGTTATGATTACTTATATTATTTTTATTTTATTAAATTATTTTATAAAAATAATTTTTGTAATATTATTATTATTATTTTATTTATTTGTACTTTCTTTTGAATAATTTTATTTCTTTATTTTTATGTAATTAAATTATTTTAAAGAAATAACTTCTTAATAAATAATTACACAATTTTTTCATTCATTTATAAATACAATGCGTACAATTCAAATTGTTATGTAATCTGAATTATTTTATTTCAGAGATAAAGTCATAAAAATAGTATAATAATAGTATCCTCTTTGTGTAAACTTACATGGCGTTTGGTTGGAAGGATTCCCTTCCCACTTACATGGCGTTTGGTTGGAGGGATTTTAAATTCTCTTCCCACTTAATTCCCACCTAATTTCAAAGGCCATTAAATTTCGTAGTTTGGTTGGAGGGAATTGCAATTCCATGGAATTGCAATTCCCCCATTTTCATGGAATTAAAATCTCATGTTCCCCCCTGGTATTTTAATTCCTGGGAAAAAAAGATAGTGATGAGTCAAAATTACCCCTTCCTTTTTTAACCTAAAATTAATGTCTAACAACAATAATGGACATTTTTGACTTTATACTACTTATTCCCTTTCAATTCCCATATATACCAAACATTGGAATTGAAATTCCCAGTAATTCTATTCATATCAACCAAACACTGGAATTTAAATTTCCACTTTATTCCCAGTAATTCAACTCCCATGGAATTACAATTCCTTTCCCACATAATTCCAAAGGCCATTAAATTTCGTAGTTTGGTTGGAGGGAATTGCAATTCCATGGAATTGTAATTTCCCCATTTTCATGGAATTAAAATCCCATGTCCCCCTGAGATTTTAATTCCTGGGAAAAAAAGATAGTGATGAGTCAAAATTACCCCTTCATTTTTTAACTTAAAATTAATGTCTAACAATAATAATGGACATTTTTAACTTTATACTACTTATTCCTTTTCAATTCCCATGTATACCAAACATTGGAATTGAAATTCCCAATATTTCTATTCCTGTCAACCAAACACTGGAATTTAAATTTCCACTTTATTCCCAGTAATTCAACTCCCATGAAATTACAATTCCCTTCCCACATAATTCTCCCCCTCCAACCAAACGCCCTATTAATGTGGCCTCTACTTTTCAATTTTATTATCCATTCAACATTGGTCTCTATCATCAATAAATCCCTTAATATACACTTGCCCTTCCCCAAACTTAGCTTTTTGTCAACGCTCCCTCGTCAATTATTGCAGTTTTCTTTGTTTTATTTGTTTTGAAAAACTCTATATTCCAAGTTGTAGACTTGTAGATATTCAGTCTAAGGTGTCGGCTCTTTGAATTTGACAATTTTTATTTAAAAAAAAAAAATCCCATTTAATTTGTCCCTTTCGTATTCAAATAGTAGAATATGTCTATAACAGTACATTCAAAAATAATAACTACACATTCATAATTTCATATCCATATATTCATAATTCACAACTAGACATTCATAATTACATAACTCCATATTCAAAATTCTTAAAGTACTTGTTCACAGAGAACTATATCCATAATTGCATAACTACACATTCATAATTTCAAAATTATATATCTATAACTTCATAACTATATATCCATAACTTCATAATTATATATTCAGACTTGCATAACTATATATATTCAATTCATAATTACACATCGATTGGAGTTTCTGTAAATATAAATAAATAAATATATATATATATATATATATATATATATATGTATGTATGTATGTATGTATGTATGTATGTATGTATGTATGTATATGTATATTTGATTGGTGGAGTTAAACGGTGCCACTAATGGCACCGTTACTTCATCATAGTAAAATGGTGTCGTTTTGCAACCGTGTGCACCATGCATGGTGCACACGGTTGCACGTCATAATTTGCCGGATATATCCATATGCATGAAATATACTTTTAATTAATTTAATAGTTCAAAACAAGTTGATAATCGAGTTATTAGGCCAAACACTTTGTGCTCAGATGGCATGTGGTGATTCTCCCACATGGGAGGTTATGAGATTGAACCTCAATGAAGGCGGTGTTGACTCTTTGTGCTTCAACAGGTTGAGAAAGTATAAATGAACAGATACTACAATCTAATAGAGTCAGTAGCTTTCCAAAAAAAAAATAAAAAAAAATCGAGTTATTAGAGTAACTTCAAAATCGAAAGATACACTTTTGTACGTCTGTCATATTAAAAAGACAATACTATTCTCTAACTAATAAGCCAAAAAAATTGTTTTTTTTTTTTTTTTTTTGTTCCAAATTTTCTTAAACAAATTATTAAAAAATCAATTTTTAACTCCACAAATTAAATACAAAACGTTTGATTTTTCATTCAAAAATTCACTATTTCCCCCGATCACCTACCCGGCTACCCCACCTACCCTGATGATTGATAATTTTGGAGACATATGTATATCACACTAGCTAGTCTAATTTAAAGAATCAAACATTTTAACTTTTTGAATTGAAAATTGTGGTGAAGAGTAGCTAGGAATTTAGTGGAGGCTAACAACTCCTGTGGAATAAAAACAGTAGTTGTTTAAAAAAAAAAAAACATTAATTAGTTTAACCTATGGGCTATGACGATGAAAGCTATATTTTCTAGAATTGAGTACATCAGTCACAGAATACAACAAGTTATATACAAGAGATCATAAGAGTTACAGTGAAATTGATAGAGTCCTAATACTATCTCTCAAGTGTAGGGTAAGGCAGTAACCTAAAGCTTGTCACGTAAAAAGGTGGACCGAGGAGCCGATAGAGGCTTGGTGAAGATGTCCGCAAATTGATCCTTAGTTGAAATAAAGTTCACTTGTATCTCCTCTGCAGCTACATTGTTTTGCATGCCTTTTCTGACTCAGACTGGGCTGGGTGCCCAACTGATCGCAAGTTCACCCGTGAATTTGCTGTGTTCTTGGGCTCTAATCTTGTTTCTTGGGTGTGTAAGAAGCAGATGACTGTAACACGGTCTTCGATAGACTAGAATTGATAGCTAATAATGACAGTAACACATAATGTATAGTAAATTGAATTATAAAAGGGTATAGCTATTTGCACCACCATTTAATTAAAACTAGATATAAAGTACTTTGAAATGGTAAAAAACTAAAAACTTTCAATAATTATATAAGTGATGTAAATAGCGAAATGGTGGTTCATATTACTATTTGTACCACCTTGGTCAAACGTCATTTACGAGGTGTGTACCACATGAATCAATAGCTAGCTATTTCCGTAAATAAGCATTTAATGATAATGTCAAGTGGAGATATATATATATATATATATATATATATATATATATATATATATATATATATATATATATTCAGTGTAGGGATTATATTCAACCTTTTGGGAAAGTGGATATTCAATGTAATGCATAATATAATGGATTAATTATTGACTAATACTCTCACGTGTTTTTTGTATAGGTACATGTAGGGGGACCAGACATTAATCAAGATATGCATTATGTAAATCCCGTTCATGTGTAATAACTCACAAATTATATAAGAGAGGTAAATTACGCAATTTGTCATATAAAATGATTGATAAATATGAAATAAAATATTTAAAAATGTTGATATGTGTTAATCTAGATTATGTCCCTAATTTTTGTCCGTTTTTATTTTATGTGACAATAAATGTATACATTATCCTTCAAGTGTTATACACTACATTGTTATTTGACAAAATTACCTTTACATTGTTATAATTAATAATTAATTCTGTTACTATTTAATAAATTCTAACATTGATGACTGAATAAATAAAAATTATAATGCATCTTTAAAATTACCATGTAAAGTCCATAAAATAACATTTTTTTAAAATGATTTTGTACCAATTGTATTTATAACTTTGTACATTATATGTAATTCAAAATTCTTGAATTATCATTTTTTTTCAATATAAATATAATTTTCTTAATATAAACAGAAATATTATAATAATAATTACTTATTTAAAAAAAAATATGAATTGTACAGCTTGTAGTCCTTACTTTCGCCAATGCGGACAAAGACTAGTCATATGATAAATGGTGTGGGTCAACAAAATATAATGTAATAATGATCCTAACAAATAAAGTGATTAGCTCTACATGTGAACGTAGACAAAGTCAATCCATATCAACTGTATATGTCACAGCTTGCATTGTCGAAAAACAAACAATAACAATGACTAGATAATAGACAAATTAAACAAACAATAACAATGACTAGATAAGACAATAATGGTGCATGCTTTCTAACTTTGTGTAATTGAAGCTCTATAAAAGCAACGAATTGAACATCATGAATCATTGCTCCTCCAAAACATTATCCTCTTCTTCATCCCCAACTTCTCTCACTCCCATCTTAACAAAACCTAAATAAGGTATGCATTTCACCTTCAATTTCCCACAACTGAAAATTATGAAATTTCCGACTACCTGAAAGTGATCTTAAATCAAGTCGAAAGCCTTGTTCCGACTACTTTTGGTATCCGGGAAAACCTTTGTTGCTATTTCCGACCACTTTTTGCTTTCGAATTGATTTAAGATCACTTTCAGGTGGTCGAAAATTCTATAATTTCCAACAGTGAAATTCTCCATTCCTCTTATCTATATTTCAGTCGATAATTCGACATTGTAATACATTATACTGCTATAAGATGTCACAAAATTTTCTTTAACTTCTATAGTTTGGTTCTAATTTTTTTAATTTAAGATTTACAACACAATTTGAAGATGTTATTGTATTCTTACCCTTTTTTTCTTTTTTTTTTCTTTTTTTTTTTTTTTTAGGTGTAATGGAAGAAGGGTTATTGCAGAGTAAAGAATTATATGAGGTAATGCTCTTATTTTATAGATCAATTGCTTATCATTAGGTAAAAACTTAACTATAATTATGCAATGAAGGAGAATTAATGTATTACTTCTCATGGTACAGTACCTTCTACGTACAAGTGTGTTTCCACGCGAATCGGAGCTTTTGAAAGAGATAAGGGATATTACTGCAAAACATCCACTGTAAATTCACTAAACTTTTCACACTGTAATAAATTTATGCAGCCTGCAATTTACTTGTGTTCAAATAGCAGATGTAGATGATAAATCACAAAATTTAATTTTGTTTTGTCAGTTCCACGATGGGTACAGCACCGGATTCTGGGCAAATGGTGGCAATGCTGTTGAAGCTATTGAACGCCAAAAACACTCTGGAAATTGGAGTTTTCACTGGATATTCTTTGCTACTCACAGCTCTTACAATCCCTGACGATGGTCGGGTCAGTACTGTTACTCTATCACAATATGTTTTTTATTTTTATTTTTTTTTTGAGTGATGAAGGAAACCCATCCACAGCTTGAGGGTATGTGTTAGGGGTGGCTAAAAAGGGCCAAATTTATAGATGGGTGGTTAGGGGACTGTTGGACGGAGGTCAGTAAAAGACCAAGTTCAGAACTTTATCTCTTAAAAATGTGATTGTAGTCTATAAAGAAATAAAGTTGTACTAGGTCAATCTTGTTAGTGTGCACTAAATAAATCCAACCTTATAATCCTAATTGATAAAATACAATAAAAAGATAAACCAGCTTAAATTGTTGATAGCTGAACGGCTTAAACGAGCCTAGGTTGCCCATTGTGTTTTGTTCATTAGACATCAGTTTTCAATTTTTCATCATATCGGCATTTAATTTGTTTAATTGATCAGATTACAGCCATAGACCCCGACAGGAAGGCATATGACATGGGATTGCCAGTTATAAAGAAGGCAGGAGTTGAGCACAAAATCAACTTCATTGAGTCTCCGGCTCTGCCTGTTCTTGATAAGCTGTTGGAAGATGTAAGGAACAATATAATCAAACATCCCGATCCAAACAACAATTATTAATATTGTGCGGTTTTTAATGCTTAGGATCGATGTTGTTTTGCAGAGGAAGAACGAGTCGAGTTTCGACTTCGCGTATGTGGATGCTGACAAGATAAACTACAAAAACTATCACGAAAGAGTGCTGAAATTGCTGAAGATTGGTGGGGTTGTGGTGTATGATAACACGCTTTGGTACGGGACGGTGGCGATGCCGGAGAAATCAGTGCCGGAGGATCTTGTTTCGTACAGGGGGCATATTGTTGAGCTGAACAAACGGTTGGCCGGCGATACTCGCGTTCAGATTGTCCAGATTCCGTTGGGCGATGGAATGACGGTGTGTCGACGTGTGTGTTGATCCATTTTCTTGCATGCTTTTCATGTTTCCACAAATATTTTGTTTTAATTTGGAGTGATTGATCTGAGTGAATAAAGGCAGGCTACTTTATTATAGTGCATGTTTTAATTTCGTTCTAGTTTGTTTAGATCATGATGAACTTCAAAGTTGAAGCTTTGAAGAAAGTATGTATCTATTTTGTATAATTTAGATTCAATACACAAATGATATATTTTTAATATATTAAAAATGTATTTTTTCTTTTCATAAACAGTTACTCCTTTTTTCTTTTTTATAAAGTTTTTTATTTTCCTTTTCAGCTTCTCTCCGCACTTCTCTCTCCTATTTGACAGACAAAAAATCTAACAAAAAAAATGTTTGTTTATTTCTTTTTACTTTTTTAGAGAAAAGAAGATTTTGATTTGACCAAAAAAGATGTTCAGAATCTTTCAAATGTTGAGGATGCTTATCATGGAGAAAAATGGAAATTTAGATTAGTATTCATTATTTTCTTTTGCAACTAATTAATGATATTTTTTAAGCTTTAAAAAAGTGATTAAATAATAATAATAATAATTATTATTATTATTATTATTAGTATTTTAAAATAAAAAACTATTTAAAACTTTGTAGTTGTACTATTTGTACTTTGAAATGATTCAAACGATATTCTTATAGTATATCGGTGATAATAAGATTGACTACTTTATATATATATATATATATATATATATATATATATATATAAAATACAAACTTTGTTTCACAAAATTAACCCTTTATATTTTTATGTGAAGTTATCAATTGTAATTTATTTTCCTTTTAATTATTAATTAAAAAGATTTACTTCTAATCCAAATCTCTAAAATATCAACATTTTATGAAAATTTCACTAAACTTTGCCATATACTTCACCTTAATGTTTTTAAGAATACTTTGGATTAAAAGTGAAAAAAAAATTAAACTTGATAATTAAAAATGAAAAAATAATAATTAAATCAATAATCAAAATTGAAAATACCATTATAGTCTATGAATCAAACTCAAAGTGAAATTAACTTCTTTCATTTTGTGGAGTAAGTTCATTACCTTAGAAACAGAGTATATGTTTGGTAAAACGTAACAACTGTATTCTTCACTTGTTATTCAATATGAAAAGGAATTTAGGCACGATATAAACTGTGCTACATATTGTCCACTACAACAAAGTTTCAGAAACAATGTTTCGTGACAAGTTGGCCTGGTGATGACATTACACTTTAGCTAGCATCTCGATTCTTGGTCTCTTTCTGTGACCAATTGAGCTACCCATACAGGCCTACCAGCCGTTTCTTGAATTATGCCGGTGGAGTAGTGAGCGTGTTGGCAACGTCGATCACAAATCGATATCTAACATCCGATTTAGCCAGACGCTCCATGGCTGTGTTCACATAGTCCATAGGAATGACCTCAACCTCTGCAACGATGTTGTGTTTTGCAGCAAAATCAATCATTTCTTGCGTTTCCTGTATTCCTCCAATGCAACTCCCTGCCACCATCCTTCTTCCTGCAGGTAATCATGGCGAGCAAGTATATATTAGCTTCGGGTTGTTTCTGATACCAAATTGAAATATGTTATGTCTCAGCTGATAGTTGGACCTACTGCACCATGGTTTATATATATATTATATGGTCAACAAAATTAATTTATGTATTTGGTACGAATTGAACTAACCCATGAGCAGAGGAAAAACTGGAAGCTCCAGTGGCTTCTCTGGTGCACCAACCAGCACGAGCTTCCCGTTAGGCTTCAACAGATTTATCAATGGCGCAATTGCGTGCACAGCCGAAACAGTGTCAATAATTCCATCCAATGTGCCTATAGCAGCCTAGTTCAAGGAATTGAAACCCAGATTTACCAAACATATATAATTGGACCAAATACTTAACTAACCAATAATATATATATTTTGATTGGTTTAATTACCTGCATTTGTTCTGGATCGCGGCTGACCAAAAACTCGTCAGCGCCGAGATGATTAATGGCTTCCTCTTTCTTGGTTGGTGAAGTGCTTATGACTGTGACCTTGGCCCCAAACGCCTTGGCGAACTTAACCCCGACGTGGCCGAGACCGCCCAGGCCAACGATGCCGATATGCATGCCGGGCTGGTTAAGTCCGTAGTATTTGAGCGGGCTGTAAAGTGTGATTCCGGCGCAGAGCAACGGCGCAGACGCGGCGAGCGGCAGGCTGTCTGGGAACCGAATCGCGTAGTGTTCATTACAGACCATTTCGTTAGAGTAGCCCCCGTACGTTATGGTTCCATCGTGGTTGACGAAACTGTAAGTCTGGATCATTTTGGGACAGTAATTCTCGAGCTCGGTTGAACAAAGGTTGCAGGAGCCGCAGGAACCAACCAGGCACCCCACGCCTACTTTGTCTCCGACCTTGAATTTCTTCACCTTGCTACCCACCTCTGTTACTTCACCCACAATCTCATGCCTGCAAAAATCAGTCATTTAATACTAGTGTTGGGCGGAGACACCGCTGAAAGGAATTTCCGACCATCTGAAAGTGATCTTAAATCAAGTTGAAAGCAAAAAATGATCGGAAATAGCAATAAAAGTTTTTCTAGATATCAAAAGTGGTATGCTTTCGACTTGATTTAAGATACTTTCAGGTGGTCGTAAATTCTATAATTTTTAACAGTGAGACCTGAAGGACCAAGTCCAGCACAATTAGGGATGAGATTGTTTGATCCACCACCTACTTAAGTTGCGTTTTTTGCTACTGATTATAATTTTTGATATAGTGATAAGTGTTAAAATGCGTACCCGGGTACAATTGGATAAGTAGACATGCCGAAATCATTCTTGGCAAAGTGGAGATCGGTATGACAGATCCCGCAGTACAGCACCTTAAATCTCACATCATCTTCTCCAGTTGCCCTTTTTGGATCAAAAGTAACAACTTAAATTTTCAAATATGATGATTTATATTATGAAAGATGAGAAGATATAAATACCTTCTGGAGAATTTGAAAGGGGAGAGGACACCAGAAGTGTCTCTGGCAGCCCATCCGTATGTCTTCACTGGGTGTTCATTTTCGTAGGATTCCGAGCCCATTATATTTCGCTTTGTGATATCAAACTTGGGAGATTGCAAAATTTATTTTGGAAAGATTTAGGAAATATTGGATTATATTGTTGCATTTGCTCAGACTATCAACAATATATATAGTGCTAATTCGAAGATTCGGAGGAAAACCAATTAATTTATTAAAAAATGGCGTGCGCCGTGCCGTTACATATTAATTTTTTTTTTTTTTTTTTTTTTAAAGCACGCTATCTGGAAACACATTGGAGCAGTTGTCAATGATAATATTTATAAATGAATAAAATAACATATACGGAGTATTTAAAAAAGAAAACAAAAAGAAAAGAAGAAGGAATATCTGAATCAAAATTGGTAAAGCTTACGTAACTTCTAGGGAGGCACCAAATAGGAAGTTAGGCAATTGCTGTGATGCTTCGTTGACGAATGTCAGCATTGATGGCTAACGTTGCAATCATGCTGAGGGTCAACACTGATGGCTCTGTACTTCTGCTTTTATTTTAACAAAAATATCAATTTTAAATATATATATATATATATATATATATATATATATATATATATATATTGGTTAGTGGTTTAGTACGTGTTTAAGATTTGTTTTAGCTTTTTAGATTTGATTTTCATCTGTTGTTTTGTTAAAGTTATTTTCTCTCGTGTCTTTAGCGAGTTTTTCTCTCGTTTATTTGGCGAATTCTTATTTCATAAGGTGAAATAATTTATCTGATAATAGAGTATGTTTGCTTCATCCCGAGCACTGAAGAAGATCTGAACCTTGATATGCAATTCAGATTAACGGAGATATTGTTTATGGACAGAAAAGCCGCAATAGGTCAGACTTGGATAGCAAAATCATTACAAAGAACGCTTCAGGTTTTCCAAACAAATTCAGCTTCAATCTTGAAAAACAGTAAGAGATTCAAGTTTCATGTAGCATTAAAAATTTGTTTCAATGTCTGATTGTAAAAATGTTTTATTAACTTTTCATTATATGATTAATGAATTAGCTCTTTTATTTCAAAATAATAATAATAATAATAATAATAATAATAATAATAATAATAATAATAATAATAATAATACATTGCCATGACATCAAGTCACGCGACTTTCCATTACACTAAGTCTAGAGGCAATAATTACTTTTGGAACAATTACTGATATTAGTTATCACTAGTATTTGTACGTCTATCTTAACCCACACTTTCTTTTACTAACACCATCACATGATAATATTGTCAGTCAAAGTAGAGGTGAACGCGGTTCCCTTCCACTTTCGGAAATGGCAAAACAAAATCGTCAATTCCAATTTGAACATCCGATTCGAACTTGTTTGTTTGTTTGTTTTTTAATTTATTTTATATTTTAAAAATAGTCTAGATTCAACAATTTATTTCTTTTAATATTTTTTTTAAAAAAATGGTTATCTCAAATATTTAATCTTTAAAGTTAAACTAAAAAATAAAAATAATTTTGGACTTACACTTAATTTTACAAAGACTAAGACCTTGCTTGGTAAAATAGTTAGCATAGTAGTAAATTTTAGTTTATTTGACCACTATTAACTGTTTGACTTGATTAAACAATCAATATGAGTGTTTGATTAATTTTTATATAATTAGCTAACAGCTATCAGCTAACGCCCATTTACCAAATACCTCGAGAAAATTTCAATTTGAGTTTTTTTCACTTTTGGTCCCTCGACTTCACTTGTGGTGACAAATGGGATTCACGACTTTTATTCCGGACATAATAGGTGCTCAACTTCAATTTTTTTTTTTCACATTTGGTCCCATTCGACCAAGAACCCGGCCAACCCACCGGAATTAGACTCAACCCTTGTTATGTTAAGGGTATTCTAGTCATTTCTAACCCATGTAAAATAATTAAATATAAAATTTATTCTGTATATACACCTCATTCTCGCCTATCTCTGTTCAAATCGAAGGTGTGCGAAGAAGGAAGATATTTCTTCGCACGACGAGGTATTATTTTCACCAGCTCGTCTTCGCCCTCCACTTCTGCCACCAGAACGGCGTCACCCACCGTGACATCAAGCCCCAGAACCTCCTCCTCGACAAGGACGGCAAGCTCAAGATCTCCGATTTCGGCCTCTTCGCGCTGCCGGAGCAGATCCGGAACGGCCTCCTCCACACCGCGTGCGGCACTCCGGCCTACACCGCCCCGGAGGTGATGATCAGAAAAGGCTACGATGGCGCCAAGGCCGACGCGTGGTCTTGCGGCGTCATCCTCTTCGCCTTCCTCGCAGGGTACCTCCCATTCGATGACAGCAATATATCAAACATGTACCGTGCAATACGAAGCCGCGCGTTTCAGTTCCCGGATTGGATCACAAAGCCCACCCGGAGCATAATTTTCCGGCTGCTCGATCCCAATCCGGTAACCAGAATGTCCATCGAGGAACTGATGAAGCTCCCGTGGTTCAAGAAGTCATCATCAGTGATAGATTTGACAGACGAACATCAATTCGGGAACCAAGAGTTCGACAAAGATTGCAAACACTTAACCAAAATGAACGCATTCGATATCATTTCAATGTCTCCCGGGTTGGATCTATCAGGGCTATTCCAGGCGGGATTGAACAAGAAAGAAATGAGATTCACCACAAATTCCGAGGTTGGAGAGGTTGAGGAGAAGGTAAAGAAGATCGGGAGTGAAGCAGGGTATAGGGTGGAGAGGGGAAAGGGAGGGGGAATCAGACTGGTAAAAGCAAGAGTAACGTTAATGGTGGAAATTCTTCAAGTGGCGCCGGAGCTATGGCTGGTGGAGATGAAGGTCGTCAATGGAGAAATGGAATTCGAGGACACAGTGGGAGGAGTTGAGAGTTGGGTTCAAAGAAATATCTTGTTTCATGCTAGTATAACAATACAACCATGAATCTTGAACCAGACAACGCCAGTGATTGTCGCCGAGCTTCTACCAGGCGAGAATGAGGTGTATATACATAATAAATCTTATATTTAATTATTTTACATGGGTTAGAAATGACTAGAATACCCTTAACATAACAAGGGTTGAGTCTAATTCCGGTGGGTTGGCCGGGTTCTTGGTCGGATGGGACCAAATGTGAAAAAAAAATTAAAGTTGAGCACCTATTATGTCTGGAATAAAAGTCGTGAATCCCATTTGTCACCACAAGTGAAGTCGAGGGACCAAAAGTGGAAAAAACTCTTTCAATTTTGGTCCACTGACTATTGGGGTTGTGTTAATTGTAACACTTGACTTTCAAAAATGTTAATTTAGTACTTTGACTATGCAATTTCTATCAATTTTGGTCACGCCGGCCAAATTGCCGGTCAAATCTCACCGAAAAAATTTAATAGGTCAATTTATGAGGATATTTTAGTAATTTTACTTACTACCCCTTTCTTCTCCGATTAGTTCTCTCCATTTCCGATTGACGATTCTGGAGGTGACCCAGATTCCGATTGACGATTCTCTCCATAAATAAATGGATATGCAATTCATAAAATTCATTTTAAATGAATATGCAATATTCTTCTTCCATTCCTTGTTTAGCCCCATTTCTCCGAACCCCAATGGCAATAGAAAGTGCGGCGCCACAAATAAGGAGAACAAACATTGAGTTTCTCAGCGCTTCCCAGACAAGTTCATGGAAGGTGCAGGAACTAGGCGGTTGATCTGATGTTCAGAGACGACAACGTTGTTGGTCCCAAACGCTGTTCGCTGGCGGCGGATATCCGCCTCGTCTCCAGCTATGCCGGAAGTAATATTGGTTTGTAAGCCATCAAGTACTTGCCGGAGGCTGAGGAGTCCATCGCCGGCGCTGCAATTCCCGAAATAGTGCATGCCAAAAGTCACTTGTACATCACCGTCCAGCCGGCGCTGCAATTCCGGAAATGGTGCAAGGAAGAAGTCATCTGTACATCATCGTCCAGGAGGAATACTGATCGTAGTTCTGCAATTTCGACCGGCTGGTGCAAGGAATGGAAGAAGAAGAAGAAAGTCACATGAAATGACGCTTTTGGCCCTCCCATTTAAGACTAATTTTTAATTTTTAATTTTTCGGTCACATTTGGCCGGCAATTTGGCCGGCGTGACCAAAATTGCATAGTCAAAGTACTAAATTAACATTTTTGAAAGTTAAGTGTTGCAATTAACACAACCCCAATAGTCAGTGGATCAAAATTGAAATTTTCTCCAAATACCTCCAAAGTTATCTATGTATCTTATTGAAATTTTAATAAGAATCAAATTCCACGTAGATGATGAAATTAAAAGTTGTCAAGAATGGTGAGAGTCACGCCGTGAGCGTCACCGGTTTGGAGGTTCTCTGATCCTCAAACTCACGCTGCCACTCACACAAAGAGTGACAGAGTGGCGCCGAGGAGGCGAGGATCAGTGGAGTTGGATCTAACCCTCACGGCGTGAGGACCACCAGAGAGAAACAATAAACTAAGCAGATAAATTTTTAAATTTAAAAAAAAAAAAAAAAAAAAAAAAAACTAAGTGCATGGAAGTAAATAATACGGAGTATCATATTTAATTTTGTTGGACAACAACTTTTACTGCACAAAAATAATTGGTCACATTTATTAGGATCTTTATGAAAACCACCAACAACCTCTCAAGCAGATGCATCAGAAGGTTTGAAATAATTCTTCACAACTAATTCTCTGCAATAATTCACTTCTGCATTAAAAGAGATTTGGTTAGATTACTTTCCAAATCTCTAATTTATCCCACCATAATCTCGAAAGAAATTGTTACGACTGAAAAGTAGTGCTATTGATTGATTCAAGGCAAAGGAAGCAATTTTATTTTTAGTTTGCATCAAACTAACAGTCTACACAATCAAGACTTTCGAAAATCTTCTTTTAACGTTCATAATCTGCTCTTGTGAAACCTTTTAAAAGATGTAGAAGTAGATTAAGCAGCCTTCAATGTTTTCCCTATATCCAGAACAAATCTGTATCTCACATCAGACTTCTTAAGGCGATCCATGGCAGTGTTCACATAGTCTGCTGGAACGATTTCAACTTCCGGTGTTATGTTGTGTTTTGCTGAGAAATCTAACATTTCTTGCGTCTCCTTTATCCCTCCGATGCAACTGCCAGCAATTAGCTTCCTTCCTGTTTCGAGCAATGATCTCATAAATCTCGAAACATATGAACAATTGCAGAGTCTATAAATATGAATGGAAGGAAATAAACTTTACCCATAAGCAATGAGAACATGTTGACTTCAAGTGGTTTTTCAGGTGCCCCAACCATGACCAGCTTTCCATGGGACTTCAACAAACCAATCAATGGTAAAAGAGCATGAACTGCAGAAACCGTGTCGATAATGCCATCCAATGTGGCCATTCCACCCTACATTATTTTATTCAAACCACACGGTTAAATGGCAGCAATATAATGCCATGATTTTCAAGAATTCAAGCCTAGAGATCCGATTTCACCTTTATCTGCTCAGGGTCGGTGCTAACCAAGAACGAGTCTGCCCCCAGACGTTCCAAAGCTTCCTGCTTCTTACTAGGAGAGGTGCTAATAACCGTCACCTTCGTGCCAAAGGCCTTAGCATATTTGACAGCCATATGGCCTAGACCGCCTAGACCAACCACGCCAATATTCATCCCGGGCTTGTCAAGTCCAAAGTATTTCAAGGGACTATAAGTCGTTATGCCAGCACAGAGCAGAGGAGCAGCCTCCATAGGCAGGCTCTCCGGCCATCGGACCACAAAGTGCTCATCAGCCACCATGACGTCTGAGTAGCCACCATAAGTGGTGGTTCTCATGTCATTGTAAGTCTGTACGCTTAGAGGACAGTAATTCTCGAGATCATTTGCACAGTTATCACATTTCCGGCAGGACCCTACCAAGCATCCCACACCTACTTTGTCACCAGCCTTAAATTTCTCTACCTTGCTACCAACCTCAGTCACCACACCCACAATTTCATGCCTGTATTTTAAACATAGTTGAAAATGGACAATACACATTATATCCTTAGCCATATACACATGTTTACTCGCCCACAAAAGACAAAATTCCCCCACACCCCGACCCAACTGAAGTGACTAAGACGACCAGTGCCTGGGGCCTACAAGATGGCCACTACTGTCGGGCCGGATACGTGTCCTTGCCCACAATTTACCACCCAAAAACTAATTGGGTATATACATGTTTACTCAGATAAACACAAGCTTAATTAGAGCAAATAAAGATTTCATGGAGGGAATTGAAGGAGAAATGGAATCTCACCCTGGGACAATGGGGTACTTAGTGAAGCCCCATTCATTCTTGATCTGGTGGAGATCGGAGTGACAGATGCCGCAGTACAAAACCTTGAATTGCACATCCTTTTCGCCGGTAGCTCTGCACCGATCGATCAACGCCGTCATAATTGTTAGTAAATTAATCAACCAAATACCCTTCTTTCTTGAATTCAAACCAAGAAATGAAAGATGAAGATTTTGCATACCTTCTTGAGAAGTTGAACGGTGAAAGAACCCCAGAGGTGTCACTGGCTGCATATCCAAAGGCCTTAACTGGGTGCTCTTCTTCATGTGACGCTGCCATTTTACTAAAATCTCAGGCTAAGGCAATATTATCACAATGTGGGAGAAAGAGAATTGCAACAATCTTGAATGGTTATGCGTAGCGAGTTATGTGTACATTTATAGAGAACCAAAGTTTAGGGCTTCGGTAACCGCAACGTCTCCTTTCCTTTACAATTAGTTTCACTATTTTTTTTCTGGAAAATTCCCAGCATCCCATTTATTACGTTACCTGCCATCTATAAATTCAGCCAAACTTTTAAAGTGCAATAATAAGTCATCACATGCTGTATTTAGTAGACCCTTTTTCACATTTTTACTGTCATGCTAATACTTGTTGATTAAAAAAAAAAAGGGTAAAATAAATGGTTAAATGATTGAATTGATAAATTTTCGTTAAATCGTTATTTTATTTAAGTATTTCAGTTCACTTAATGCTAAATACCAGTAATTTTTAAGAATTTTAGTTAACAAATAATTTGGTTCCGAAGTATAGGTTACTTCATAAATAAATAAAAAATTAATTTGGTTAACGGTTAAAACAAATCTCAGATTCAAAAAATACAAAATATAGTGTTAGTATTATTACATATACTTGAGGAATTTTATAATTGTAAATAATAATGGAGTTGAATTTTTTTTTTTTAAAAGATTATTATATTTTTATATTAAATAATAAATTTATTTATAAAAGTATCATCTCACTTTTATTTATAATGTTAATGTTTATACTGTTTGATGTGGTAGAATATATATATATATATATATATATATATATATATATATATATATATATATAGGCGAGTTCAGGTGCGGCAGTGTCTTACGGTGCGACGATTTCTTACGGTGCGGCAACACCAATAGTTCAACAAATATGCACCATCAACGTTAGGAAAATGCATCACACAAAACAGAGTAAACAGAGCCTGCATCACCAAACACACACCATTAGGTGTGGGTAAAAATATCATACACTGTTCGGAAATACACCATTGGGGGTGGTGAGTTATATGGTGTATTTTTTTGAGTTTGTTGTGTATTTTGTGATGTTTTATTGCATTTCATTGTTGTGTGTTTTTATTACACTGTTAGTGCATATTGTTAACACTGTTGGTGTATTCTGGAATTTCGCCACACCGCGGCACGGTAAGACCCCGCCGCATATGAGCGCTCTTCTATATATATATATATATATATATATATATATATATATATATATATATATATATATATAATTTCATATTCAATTTTTTGTTGTTTTTTAGTGTAAAAAACGTAATGATAATAATTATAGATGCATGCCGGCCACGTCCAATAATGTGGTTTACGGTGGTGGTTCATCCGTGTTAAGGCAACCAACATCACTGTTCCATAGTGCAATAACAAGTGGCTACTGTTGAGCCAGAAAACCAACTGCTTTTTGGTTCACTATTTTGTCTAGTCAATGTTTTTGGAATATGAAAACTCATACTTTTTTCACACCAGATGTCACACTTTAATTTCATCAATCATTGTTGTGTGGACAATGATACGGTAACTGTGGATTATTCCATCAAATAATATACATTCAGTACACAATGTACTTTTAATATATCATAAATGTACATTATATTTTAAAAAAATTACATTATTTTGTATAATGTATATTTTATATCCAATACATGAATAATGTAGTTTTAATATATTAAAAAAAATATATTTTTTGTCATGATACATACATTACTGTTTAAACTAGGCCCACACAATAATTTGCCTCTAGAATATGATAACTCATACTTTTTCACACTATACATGGGTTACACATGTTATTTAAAAATATAAGTTCAAACAAGATGGAAAATGAGAGTTTCAAAAGATAATTTGGGAGCGTACGAAAAGAGTATTTTTTAAGATTTATTTTGCATCTCTACATGCGAGAAAGTCTTTTATGTTATACGATTTAAATTTCTTTTTTAAAGTAAATTGTATAATATTAATGCAAATTCACATTCATTTTTTAATATTGGACAAAGACTAATTATAAGTTTTCTCAATTCTAATTTTTTCAACATAAATGAGTATAATTTGAGAAATAATTTTCTCATATATATATACACATTATTCATTTTGTACATATAATATGTTAAGTTAAACCTCTCGAGAACTCAAATCCACTTTGACCAACTTAAATTAAAAGTGAACCCCACCGGAAATTATACTACAAAATTGTTAAACACATAGCTTGAATTAGTTTTTAGATGGTTTTGTTATTTACTTTTCTTTAGCCTTTAGTTATGCTTCTGTTGTAGCTTTTTCCGTAAAGCTAAATTATACCTCCCATGTAAGTCATAATTAATGCAACTCATTCTACTCCTCTACTGACAATTATACTACAAAATAATCATTTTAAATGACCCCTCAAAAAAAAAAAAAAAACACTTTAAATGACATTTAAGCACATTTTTTTTCCAACAACACATTTATCATTATTTGCTTCAATCTTAGTACCTCATTTTGCACGTGTAAAAAAGATGTTACATGTGTTTGTAAGAAGTATTTGTTTTTATCACGTATGTCTATGTCTATTTTGTTAAAGGAATAAAAGGCAAAAAAAAAAATTGTGAACTACTTTTTTTTTTTTTTTAAATGTTTTAATCAAAACATTTCCCAATCTTGTGATGAGGAAGCGCGGAGATAGAGGCTACCTTCCCTGGCAATTTATATCTTGGAACAAGTTCCACATAGCATTATGGATTATGAATTTAAATAATGAGGTACAAAATTTATATTCGTAAAGTACAGAATTTCATAACACAAAATACAAAAAATCATAACACAAGACACATAGCATAGCATTATGGACCCAGTTAGATTAAAAAGACGAGATACAAAATTCATATTTGTAAGGTACAGAATTTCATACACAAAACACATACACATGTTATATATTTTTCCTTGTCCCTGTCCTATCTCCTTCCAAACGGATGTAATCATACATAACTCCCATAAAGGAACTTCCATTCCTGGGTTGCTTCAAATATATCGTATTTTCTCCATTCACAAGTTGAGATCCAAAAAAAGTAAAGCTGTGCTCCGAATATAGTCCATGGATTCCATGTCTGGCTATTGCATTATCTGCCCCAAGCCAATTAATTATAAAGTCGGGTCGTCGTTTATCTCGATTGTTAATCCAAACCTAAGAATATATCATCGGATCACATAATTAATTAACATGTACAATAAGAGACAATCATAGATAAATACGAGTGGAAGTTGACATATGTTTTACGTACTAAAACATCGGCATACGTGGAAGCAGCCAACGCTATTCGCAGTGTATAAGTTCCTGTCTGGTTAACATTATGTACTGAAAACAAAATTCTCCACGTTGTTGATTCAAATACATTTTTCCTTCCAACTCTTCTGCAATGCACATGAGAGAAGTCACTACATGTCATCTGAGCATAAGGTGCTTGGGCATAACACTAATATATAGTAGTATCAGATATAATCATATATACTATTTTTTTTTTTATTGTGTACAAGTCTACCATACATAATTATATACGATATTATTAACACCACAAGAAAAAGAATTAATTCATAGACGGATATGATGCGAGGTAGATGTAAGATTCACCTATTTACATGAGCAAAGAACCAGTCTCTTGTGTAATTACTCTTGCCGACAGTGTAAACCAAATCTTGTTTAGGATAATAATGTGCGTATCGATTCCATAGTCCATATTGTCTGAACCTGTTTTCAATAATGTTGGTGTAAATAATGCACAAAAAAAAATGATTATTAATTTGGAATGTAAGCAAAATTATATTATTTTCAGTAGGTTGAGCTCACTTGTCAGCGGTACGGTTGATGAACACCTTATTGACTAGTCGGGGGTTGGGATCAGGGACGAAGAACTCTGAAGCCTTGCGATCAGGGATACCGATTTCCCATAATGTTGGACCGTTTCTTGGAGGATAAAATACGAGTCTAAGTTTAATATTGTCACCTGCATCCATTAATCTATTTGTAATTTCAAGAGATAAAAACATAATAAATGAAATGAAATGAATTTAAGGGGGAAAAAAAAAACCTGGTGTTATGTTAATGCTAGTGTTGTATTTATAGTCTCCAAGAATTCCAGGGACCCAGGCGTATAAGTTGTAGTTTCCAGGTCTAACAGCCAGGATTTTGAAGTCTCCTGTCTTGTTCGTTTGAGTCCAAAATTGATAGCCCTGAAAACAGTATTAGTCTAAGTAACGTAGTATAGGTATGAACATTTTTTAATTTGAATTAAGAGATTTTGAAATCAATTCTCATTTCTTTGAACTTGAAAAAAAAAAAAAATTGTTGCTTTCAGAATTTTCTCAAAATTAGACAAACCTTGACGTCTCTTTGCCATGATCCAGCCTTTCCTGGTGGAGCCAGTCCAACGTATGCAGATTTTGCAGCCATTATCTCTCTGCTTATGTACCTAAATAGGGCCTAAATTAATATAGTCCATTTACAGTTTCAAGAATTAACCGGTCGTTATATCCTGGACCGCGGTGCACGTGCATCGCAGTCAAAACGGCACCGTTTCTTTAAGTAAAGAAACTGTGCGCCGTTACTGTTAACGGAGCGCGCATTTTTTGGTGTGTTAATTACCAACTGAAACTAGAGTGTATCTAAATCAACATTGCCTCACGTATTATTTTATATATTATCAAATGAAACTGCAGCTATATCAAAATGATACTGTAGTTGTGGTGAAATGAAACTGCAGTATATATAAAATGAAACTGAATAACATTTCACATATTTGAGTGTATATTGCACAACGAAGCTGTAGTTATATCGAAATGATCATGTAGTTGTGTTTTAATGAAACTATAGTGTATATAAAATAAAATTAAATAATATTTTCACATATTTGAGTGTATAAATATCGAATGAAACTGTAGTTATATCGAAATGAAAGTGTAGTTGTGTTGAACTGAAACTGCAGTGTATACAAAATGAAACTAAATAACAGAGTTACTTTTTGCAGAACGGCATGAAACGGGTGCCGTTTCTTTTCATTAACAAAACGATATCGTTTTGAAGCTCGATGCATAATCGATTATGCGCTGCGATGCACGATATAATTTGCCAGAATTAACTCGTAAATAAAGCAAAAAGGCTGAAAACTTACCTGTCTGCATGAACTAGCAATCTGCCCACAATGCTACCCCGTTGATCACCTTTGAGATAATCTCGCGACATTGGGAAATTATAAGGCCAGCTTTTAGTTTCTAATAACATCTGATAAAAATGAAGAGAATTATTCTTAGCTAATACGAAGTAATCAAATAAGTAGCTCATATATATATATATATATATATATATATATATATATATATATATATATATATATATATATATATATATATATATATATATATAGAATGACCAATTATTTATTCAGATTTGACCAAGACAAATTAAAATTTACTGAGGATTACTGTTTCTTTAGCATTTTCCCAAAGGGATTGTGGCCTATGCCTATTCTTGCCTGAATGCGAGTTGAGGTATATAAAAACAGGACCGAAAACCTTTTTCCATGCCTCCCCATTTCGCAGTTTAACCGTATGAACTTTCCCTGCATAATGATTGCTGAAAAACATCTAAAATAGGAATCCATACACACAAGTTAGTATATGTATGTTTCACATTTTGTGTTAGTTTGCATTAAAATTATGATTAAATTGTGCAGAATGAAGCAAACTTCTAGTTGGAGGGGTTTTCCATATGGGAGCATAGAACATACCGATAAGGCGACTGGACCAACATGTGAAGTGAGATCTTGTTTTATAGGACCACCAGATCGAAATTCACTACTCCCCGTAATGACCCAAAACCCAATATGTGGGTGAGGACAAATCCATCCGTGCACCTTAATGTCTTTATTCTCTAATGAATATTGGTATTTATCATCCACCTAAATTAATAATAAGCACGCTTCATATTAGAAGAGCATGATAATTGTCAATGCTATGTATTGTGCATATATAAAGAATTATTGTAAATTGTGAAGTCTTGATGTTCATGGATTAGTACTATAAGTCTATCATTCTTTCCAAAAGGTTGAACCCCAACCCTAATGGCCCGACAGAGTATCTGGGAGGATGTAAATCATGGTAACTCAACTGAATATGAACCATAGAGGCTAGATCTTTGCTTACTAGTCCTGGTCATTCTTTCCAACTTTTACCTTTATGACTAGTTGAGCTGCCCATGCGGACATAAGTCTGTCATTAATAAGTCCTTGGTGGGTGTAATATGAGCTAATACTAGCTAGATGTATGCGAAAAAAAAAAAAAAAAAGAAGTGAAAGATATAGAGCACTACAAGACGTTAAAATCAAGCACTTACTACTACCCTAAAAAGTAACACATGGCCCTTCAGGCCTCCGCCCAACAATTCCCCTAACCATATGGTGCTAGACTTGATCCTTCACCGACCTCCACCCAATAATTCTCCCTCAATTGCACAATTTTTACTCTTGCTTAGACTCGAATCAATGACCTGGCTCTAATAATTAACCACTACGTAAAAAGTTATAACTTTAGGCACGGTGTTAAATTTGACCCTTCATGCGTCCACCCAACAATATGCTAAACTTCACCTTCACGGGCCTCCTCCCAACACAAGAAATGGAGGGAAGTGGGATACATGCATATATTGTTGTTATAATTACCTCTCCTTTGAAAGTGGGATTGGATGGGTGAGTTAGTAAGGCGGCTTCTTTGTAGGCAAGGGGTTGACTGCCATACACCCGATCAGCAGGTGTTGGCATCGGTCTTTGAATGTGATCTGATATAGCCATAAAATTGAACCTGAAGAGATAATATACGAAAGTTGAGGCCTTAATTAGCTTGCACAGAAGATAGTGGAGTCCAGGTTTAAGATCTTACAATCTGGCTTTTAGATTCAATGAAATCCTTGCTTGAACAATGTTGAGATCAGGCCATCCCTGTGGGTGATCGAATATTGCGTATGTGTAGAAACCAGAACGACCAGCCTGCAACACATACCTGCGCCCATATTTTTATTATTATTATTATTATTTTTAATGCAAAATCAGTGTAGTTTAAGTAGTGTACGTGCATGAATATAATGCATGCATATATGCACTGCTGAGCTTTTAATGTAATATAATAAAACCTTTTGTCAACGTTGAGGGGAAGACTATCGTCGTCGCGACCGTCGAAAGTTTTTGAAAAGGAAACCTCAATTTGGTTTTCGTCTGCTACTATAACATGGAAATCTGTCGCTAGAAGTCTGCACATCATTGTTATTGTCAAAAACATGTTCATCAGGTTAATAATGTAACGTTTATCCGTTACTATTATTATAACATTAGGATAAGTTATGATAATATTCAGTATTTGATATGTGGTGCAACACTAATAACCTAATAGCTAGACTACCATTATGATTAGGAGTCTGGTTAGGGTTTAGGAGACCTAAAGACAATCAACCACAATGATGGTCCGTGGTTATATAAGGTCACTAGTCCTCTCACTGCTCACATGACATACCTCATATACCATCTAGAGAGAGCTGAGTAAAGTGAGAGACAAAATACTCGTTATCTCTGCAGCAGTCCGAATCGCTCAACCGTAACAGAAACTATGGCGCGAGGTTAGTCGATCCTATGATCACATATTCTTTGATGCATGTGATATTTTAGTCTAACAATTGGTATCGGTCGCCATACATAATCTCTGCCTAGTTTTTTTTTTTTAATTGCATATATATTATATTTGAATATGTTGTATACATTGTATAGTTGAGATACATGTTTAAATATTTGTATGCAATTGTATATCTGGGCTGCTGTTGGAAATTAAGTTTTTATTCCGCATTAAGAAACAAACAAAAAAAAAAAATTAAGATTGGATAATATTTTCTGCTTCGCCGTCCTTTCGAAATTCCGGTCGCCGGTCTTCAGTACATCATCGGCCCTTTGTTCATGGTTGGAGTCGACGATTCATCAACGAACAAACAATAAATTTGGTTCTGGTCGTCCTCTCCTTTCAGTTGCCATCAAGAACAAGGTTCCGGTGATGGAGACGGACGGACGGACGGTGACGCAAAAGTCTGCTCCTCTACCCGTCGCTGGTGTCCACGGTCTGTGCTGCTACTGTTGCGTTAAAGAAGAAATGAATGAAGATGGATTTAGTTATTGGGCCAGGTTTGGCCCAATTGGGCTCATAATAAAAAAAATATTATTATTATTATTATTTTTTTTTGGGCCTGTTATGGTTTTGGGTCAAACCTGAATTGATATTTGGACTACATCAATTCATTCAGTTTAACATCTTCATCATATTTGGACTTCTTCTAATTAAATTATCCAATTGAATTTTTTTTTATTAAGTCTATTATTAAATTATTATTCAACTTTGAATAATTATTCAGTTTTAATTTTTCAGTTGAATTTTAATTTAATAATATTTTTCAGTTTAAATTGTATTAAGTGTTACAATTTAATTGTGGAGTATTTGTGAGTAATGTGCATAATCTGAGCATGCTATTTATGTCTTTATTGCAATAATTATTTGACTGTTATAATTATGCCTGTAGAAAAGCATGCTCATTAAGAAAAATTTAGAGCCTTTTAGGTCTGAATTATATGCTGATTATGCATGATTTAGTGCCTTTAGGTGAATTTGTGCCTTTCAGGTTAGATTATGCATATTATTACTCACTCTTCAGTTATTACTCCATTCGTGCTCTTATAAAGTTCCTAAAGCACATAAAGTACATAAACAATTCGTAGTTTACCCTATTCAAAGCTTTATCCATAGGTGAAACTACTCTTTAGATCTCTCAAACGATTTTACTTCAAAAAATGAGAACACATGAATTAGGGAAGTTTCTTGGGGAGGAATACTAGTTCTATGGCCCTGGCTTAAAAGCCTTGTTGCTACTAGTCCCCTTGCGATGCTACTCTGTCTAAGGAGTTGGTTTTTAACCAAGCTTCGTCTCGACCAACTTTCCTGGGAGTATACCTAAGGATTGTCTATCATATTTTGGTTTAATCTATTTGTTTATTATGTTTTCTTGCTAATGTGATTATGTTCTTTGGTTAATTAAAGAGTAGCCACAGCATCTTTAATTTTTCCAAAATTACATATTAAGTTTTACTCACATAAAGTTAATGCAAGAATATTGTAATTCACTCTGCGTGATATGGCAAAATTTAGCCCACAGGCAATTTTGTTATATTTGTAGGGTTAATTAGGATGAAATACCATACTATGATCATAATTTGCCCACAGGGATTATGTATTGGCATATAGTTTTGGTAGTTTTGTCATTAAGGGTGGAAAAATTAAAATCGCACCCATTCCGTTTCCACCATTCAGTTTTGGTAAATTCATTATGCGTAAAAATTTAGCCCACAAGCAATTTTTATGGCATCCGAATTTATCTTTCGCATAATTTTACATTGGTAATATTATGTACTTCAGTATCTCTCTCTAATTTTTTGTGCCTCGAAAATTCTAACCAAGCATTAATTATTATTCTTTACAGCAACTCATCCTGGCACCCAAACACAAATTAATGTTCCAATCCTTAATGAAGATAACCACAAAGAATGGAAAGATGCTATTCTCTTGCAATTAAGATTATTAGAGTTGGATTACGCTGTTCTCAATGAGGAACCCCCTGAGGTTACTGAAGAAAGCACTGGCGAAGCCAAGCAGCTTCGCGCACAATGGGAGAAATCCAATGGATTATGTGTGCTCTTCATTAAGTCAAGAATTTCTAGAAAAATTCGTTTTTGCTTTGAGGACATTAAGAAAGCGAAACCCTTGCTCAAAGCTATCGATGATAACTTCATTGAATCAAAGAAAGTTTTGGCAATGACTCTAATCATGAAGTTGAGAAATTTGCGTCTTTCCACTGTCAAGGGAACGCGTGAACACATTATGCAACTCAGGGATATTGTGGCTCAATTAAAGGAGTTGGAAATCATTCTACCAGATGATTATTTGGTGCTTTTTGCACTTGATACCCTCCCTCAGGAGTACAATCCTTTTAAGATTTCCTACATCACACATAAAGAGGACTGGTCTATCAATGAGTTGATAACCATGTGTGCAATGGAGGAACAAAGGCTTGTGGCTAAGCTTGGGTATGTTCCATCTTCTTTTGTTTGTTTCGAATATAATATGTCAGAAGTTAATACTAATTCTTGGTGGGTTGACTCTGGTTCAACAATCCACATTGCAAACTCTTTGCAGGATTTGACAAAATTGAGACAGCCAACGGGAACTGAGTGTAGCATCTTCTCTGGAAACAAGATTGCGTCACCAGTCGAAGCTGTCGAAGTTTGCAATTTAGTTTTGGACAATTGTTTTGTAATGACGTTAGAAAAGACTTTTTATGTTCCTAGTTTTTCTAGGAACTTAGTTTCAGTATCTAGACTTGTACCCTTCGGTTGTTCTTTTGAATTTAATACCAATAATATCAAGTTATTTCGTTATTTTACTTGTGTTGGTACTGGTACATTGTCTAATGGTCTTTTCCGTCTTAAATTAAAGAATGATTCAGTTTACAATTCTTTACATGTTCAAAACGGCACCAAATGGTGCAGTATTAACGACAATTCCTCAATGTTGTGGCATCGGAGATTAGGTCATATCTCCCTTGAGCGTATTAAAAGGTTGGTAAAGGATGGAGTACTTTCTACTCTAGACTATACTGACTTTGAGACTTGCGTTGACTGCATTAAGGGTAAGCAGACAAACAAGTCAAAGAAAGGTGCCAACAGAAGTTCAACGTTGTTGGAAATTATTCATACTGACATATGTTGTCCTGATATAACAATACCTGGTCAGAAATATTTCATCACCTTTATTGATGACTTCTCAAGATTTTCCTATGTGTATTTACTTCATCATAAACATGAAACATTGGATGCCTTTAACTCATTTAAAGCTGAAGTTGAAAACCAATGTAACAGGAAAATACACATAGTTAGGTCTGATAGGGGTGGTGAATACTATGGTAGATATACTGATAATGGACAAGCACCTAGTCCCTTAAGTTTCTTCAAGAACATGGGATTGTTGCCCAATACACCATGCCTGGTTCTCCGGACCAAAATGGTGTAGCTGAAAGAAGAAATCGGACCCTTCTGGATATGGTGCGGAGTATGCTTAGCAACTCTAAGCTTCCTAAGTCGTTGTGGGATGAAGCACTTAAGACGGCAACGTATATATTAAACCGTGTTCCAACCAAGGCTGTCCCTGAGACACCGTTTGAGTTATTCAAAGGTTGGAAACCGAGTTTGCAACATATGCGTGTTTAGGGATGTCCGTCTGAGGTGAGGATATATAACCCACACGAGAAGAAACTTGACCCAAGGACGATTAGTGCTTTCTTTATTGGATATGCACAATCTTCTAAGGGTTATAGATTCTATTGTCCATCTCATACTACTAGGATAGTGGAATCAAAGAATGCTAAATTTCTTGAAGATGACTTGATTAGTGGGAGTGATCGGTTTAAGGACCAGTTCCTTCCTTCGATCATATTGGCTCTCAACCTTCTACGTCATCTGGTGGGGTTGTACTTATCCGCAGTGCTCCTTTAGTTCCGCCTGCAGATATACCACCTACCGTCCAGATTCCACAAACTGTTGAGGATCAACCTTTGGAAGAACCAGTTCAGGACTTACAGCAACCGTCTGAACTAGATTTCGAACCAATGGTTGAACCAACTCAGGATATACAGCAAGATTCTGAGCCGATGCAGACTGAACCAATTCAAGAACTGCCACCAGTTCCTGAAGAGGTAGTTGACCTGCAGCCTGTGCAAGGCGGTGGAGGTCCAACCTTAAGACGGTCTACTCGGATAAGGCGATCAGCAGTTCCTAGTTATTATGTTTTGTATCTACAAGAATCTGACATAGGGGCAGAAAATGATCCCGAAACATTCTCTCGAGCCACAAATTGTGCACAGTCTGACTTATGGTTAGAAGCCATGAAGGATGAAATAAATTCCATAAAGGACAATGGAGTTTGGGATCTTGTTGAGTTGCCTAATGGGGCCAAGGCCGTTGGTTGGAAATGGGTCTTTAAGGCTAAAAGAAACTCATTAGGCAACATTGAGAGATACAAGGCCCGGCTTGTTGCCAAGGGATTTACTCAAAAAGAAGGAATCAATTACAAGGAGACCTTTTCTCCTGTATCAAAGAAAGATTCACTTCGGGTCATTCTGGCATTAGTTGCACATTTCAATCTTGAGTTGCAACAAATGGATGTGAAAACCGCTTTCCTAAATGGTGATCTAGAAGAGGAGGTTTATATGAAACAACCTGAAGGTTTCTCTTCTAGGGGTGGTGAGCATTTAGTATGTAAGCTTAAGAAATCCATATGCGGTTTAAAACAAGCCTCCCGTCAATGGTACATCAAATTCGATGGGGTAATTTCTTCATTTGATTTTGTTGAAAATCCCTCAGATAACTGTATATACTAGAAGGTGAGTGGGAGTGAAATTTGCTTCTTTGTTTTATATGTGGATGACATCTTACTTGCCACCAATGATAAGGGGATGCTTCGTGAAACAATTTATTTCTAAGAACTTTGATATGAAGGATATGGGTGATGCCTCTTATGTTATCGGCATTAAAATTCGTAGAGATAGGTCCCGGGGTATACTGGGTTTATCTCAAGAAACCTATATAAACAAAGTTTTAGAGAGATTTCATGTGTAAAATTGTTCATCTGACGTTGCTCCCATAGCTAAGGGGGATAAATTTAGTTTGGACCAGTGTCCGTAAAATGGTTTGGAGAAAGAATCCATGGAGAACATCCCTTGTTGGATGCCTTGGATATATTCGAGTCTGTACAAGTTTGGGTTTAGGCAGACGGACAATTTAGATCTTGTCGGTTATTCAGATGCGGACTTCGCTGGCTGTGTTGATTCTCGAAATCAACTTCAGGGTGCGTCTTTATTATGGCCAGTGGGGCTGTCTCATGGAGAAGTGTTAAACAGTCCTTAATAGCTACTTCTACTATGGAAGCCGAGTTCGTTTCCAGTTTCGAGGCAACTTCATAGGGTGTTTGGCTAAAGAATTTTATCTTTGGGCTTAGAATTATGGATTCTATATCTAAGCCATTGAAAGTCTACTGTGACAACTCAGCTACAGTCTTCCTAGCTAAGACCACAAAAGTGGGAGTCGAATTAAGCACATCGACATCAAGTTCTTAGCAATTAGGGAGCGTGTCAAAAATAAAGTTGTATTCTTTGAACACATTCATACTGAGTTGGTGTCAGCAGATCCCTTGACTAAATGCATGCCTTCAGTTAAATTCAAGGATCTGGTTCAGAAAATGAGACTTTTTCCCACTATGGAATTTGTATATACATTCAGTTTAAAATTCTTTGGCATTCAGACATTTTCTCAATTAAGTGTGTACACCTTCATTTGCTTCATATTGATGAGAAAAAGTACTTCAGGGACTTGGAATAAACATAAGGTTTATTTCGTTGGGTTTTGTTTCCTAATTAAGTGCTTAATGGCAGTTTGCATTTGATCATAATGGATACTACTCGTGCTAATGAGAACATATCATTATGGTTGGTGTTTTTCTGTTATTGAGTGGTAGTGCTTGCACCAAGTGGGAGAATGTAACGTTTATCCGTTACTATTATTATAACATTAGGATAAGTTATGATAATATTCAGTATTTGATATGTGGTGCAACACTAATAACCTAATAGCTAGACTACCATTATGATTAGGAGTCTGGTTAGGGTTTAGGAGACCTAAAGACAATCAACCACAATGATGGCCCGTGGTTATATAAGGTCACTAGTCCTCTCACTGCTCACATGACATACCTCATACACCATCTAGAGAGAGCTGAGTAAAGTGAGAGACAAAATACTCGTTATCTCTGCAGCAGTCCGGATCGCTCAACCGTAACAGAAACTATGGCGGGAGGTTAGTCGATCCTATGATCACATATTCTTTGATGCATGTGATATTTTAGTCTAACAAATAATTCATCTTATTTGCTTCAAACTCTTAGGGTTTATTCAGTTATGATTTTTGTAAACCCTACAGACCTTTATAAAGTCTAAGCATCCAGTTTGATAACGTACCTATCATAGACCCTTGAGCTTGTATTTGGTCTGTTCCACACAATATCCCATTGCCTGAATATATAAGAAAATAAACAAATTAGTGCAATTCTTTTATGTGACAAGAGAAACTGGTTGTCAATATTTAAGCGTGTACTACACTATTTTCTTATGTGATAGCCTGCAAATTAAACTATACATGATTGGTAAATCACACTAGGAAGACTTTGTACGACAAGTTCTGGTTAGACCAAAAAGGTATTAATAATAATTGAACTCGTGACCATCTAAGTACGAATATAATGCTCTATTTAAATTTATATTTTTTAGGCTTACCCTCTATGTGTTTCTCTTTTAGAATCATTCAGTAGGTTCTCAACTCCATTGAATTGAATTCCAGCAATTGATCCGCTTGGTTTGGTTAAGGTGACTGCGATGATGCCATTGTCCATCACTACCTGCAATATATATATACTTAAAATTACGTACGATATATCTCTAATATATCTAGTAGAATCAACAATAACCAATTTATAATATGTTAATTTCTAAAAATAGAGAACGAAAATTGAAATAAATTGGCATGCACTAAGGATTTTGTAGTATAGATACTAAAATCTACATAAATATGTTTGTATTTAATCTAAGAAGACCAATTTTTATGTTTTTTAAAGAAGAAATTAAATACTAGTAATGATATTTAATTTGACGGAATAAGGGTCAAATAGGCCACTGAACTACACACCAAGTTGCAATTAGGTCATCGAACTCAGAAAAATACAATTGAGTCCCTGAACTACACAAATTCATACAATTAGGTTTAAAATGACCTATTTACCTAATACTTTGTTGACGTGGAGGTTGTGGATTTTAAATTAATTTTTAAAATAATTTTAAACAAAAAATTAATTAAAATTAAAAAATTTTAAAAATTTTAATTTAAAAAAAAAAAAAAAAAAAAAACCAGAACCGGCCGAAGACGAAATCATCTCCGGCCGTTCTTCGTCTCCATGGTAGGAGATGAACTTCGTCTCCAGCCATGGAGACGATCTTCGTCTCCTGCCATGGAGACGAAGGACGGGCGGAGACGATCGTCCTCGTCTCCGGCCGTTATGTTTTTGTTTTTTTAATTAATTTTTTGTTTAAAATTATTTTTAAAATTCGCAACCTACATGGCAGGTAAACAGGTCATTTTAGACCTAATTGTATAAATTTGTGTAGTTCAAGGACCTAATTGCATCTTTTTTGAGTTTGATGATCTAATTGTAGTTTGGTGTGCAGTTGAGTGAGCTATTTGACCCTTATTCCTAATTTGACTGATATATATGCATGGGAGTTTATTACATTTTTACTCGTGACCTTCAGTTTCAATAGCGGGCTTGATTCCTCACCGTTGCTCTCTGAATGATTTGACCTACAAAGCCAGGAACATCATATCATATCCATTACAAACATCATATGAAAAACATCATCGTCTCATTCAAGATCGAGTCGTCACATATGTTTGTCGATACATACATCTATCTATCTGTAAGCAAATAATGGATTAAATCTGAAAGAATAACAAAATACCTTGTGGCTTGCACGATTGCAGAAGAAACAATAAGTAGGAACAACAACTGAAGAGCAATTCTGAAGCACTGCTGCGTAAATGAGCTCCCAGCTGACCCAACCCTCCACGACGACATCTATACATACACCACAAGAACAGAACTGAACTTTCTTGATAAATTATATTATATGACCAAAATGAAATGATAATCAAGAAGAAGAAGAAGAAGAAGCAAGAAGGGAGTGACCGAAAGAGAGATACGTTGAGGTGGAAGGGAAAAGAAATCAATTCAGGAAATATATAGTTATGATACTAAAAGTAATTACAGTGCTTTAGGCGTTATTTTGATTTATACTTAATTGGATGGTATAATGCGAAACAGTTGCATCTTTGGTTGAGATGCATTTAAATTACATCTATTTCTAATTGAGTTAATACCCAAAATCGTCCTCGACTATAGTGGTTTTTCTCAATTTCGTCCTAAACGACTTTGGTGACCTAATATCGTCCCAGACTTTTGTGTTTCGCTCAATTTAGTCCCAGACTTTTGTGTTTTTGCTCAATTTAGTCCCTCATTTGTTATTCTGTCCATTTGGTGTTAAATAAATAGACAATTCAGTAATTTTAATATTGGCATCTCTTACTCATAGACATATAAACTGCGAAATCCTTTTTTTTTTTTTACGAATTACTCACAGAATTACTCCTAAAACTGCGAATATAAAATTTGATTTGCAGGTCCGGGAGTAATTCTGGGTGTAATTCGTACAAGAAAGAGGAATTTCGTACTTCACAAGTTGAAAGTAAAGAGAGATCAATAATGACATTATTGAATTGTCCTTTTATTTAACACCAATTTGACGGAATAAAAAATGGAGGACTAAATTGAGCGAAACACAAAAGTCTGGGACGATATTAGGTCACCAAAGTCGTTTAAGACGAAATTGAGAAAAACCACTATAGTCGAGGACGATTTTGGGTATTAACTCATTTCTAATTAATACAATTAAACAGTTGCGTCTTTGATAATTCACTATTCAATAAATATGGATAACATATAATTTAATCATTTTTTTTTTGAAAATATATAATTTAATTATTTTTTTTTTGGAAGTTATTGGCTCTATTACATTGTAGTATCTGTTCATATACTTTAACGCTTACATTGAGGCTCAAACTCATAATCTTCCAAATGGAAGTCCAACCCGGGTACCATTAGACCACATAGTCCTGGTATATAATTTAATTATTTAATTAAAAGAGTTTACAAAAGTGAAAGAAATTACATGTTGAGACAAGAGACTGAATGTTAAAATTACATGGTAGTATTTTTTATTGAAAAATACTACTTGTACCCACAAGATGAAAATGCCATATATCCATGTTTATCACATCAGGGGGTATAACCGTATAATTGATGGAGTAGAATTTGAGAGTCCATACAACTCTTCTTTATTATTATATGGTATCATATGATTAGTTTATTTTCATTGCATGCAGTAGGTTGGGTTTATTTCTTGAATATTTATCAAAGCACAAGTAACCACACTCTTTCAAATTAATTATGCATGACAAACATGTAAATTGCTTCAAACCAAACCAAATGTTTTAATTTGATTACGAATTTAATTTGTTGAAAATTGCACCAAAGTTTTGAAATTTGTTACTAAAACTAACATAAAGTACCTTAAAAACAAAGTGGAATAATATATAAGACATTAAGATAAACTATATATATAACACTGCACATAAATCAGATCACTAGACCTAGAAATAAGCTACTTAAACGTAACTTTCCTACTAAAGTTTGATACATCTTCGTGTTGCGTTACGTTCCACATCACTTAGGGCCTTCCAAACGAATGTAATCATACATGACTCCAATGAAGGGACCTCCACCTCTTGCTTGCTTTAAAAAAATGGTGTTTCTGCCTTTCACAAGTAGAGATCCTGAAAAACTGTAACTGTGCTCTGAATACATCCCATGAATTCCATGCCTGGCAATTGCATTGTCTGCCCCAAGACCATTCACTATATGGTTGGCTCGTGTATGTGGATTGTTAATCCAAACCTAAGACCACATCATCATCATCATCATCATCATCGGATCACATATATACTTAATAATTAACATAATACAAACAACCATAATATATATATATATATATATATATATATATATATATATATATACTAAGTCATGTTTACATACTGATATAACGGCATAGGAAGAAGCAGCCAACGCTAAGTCATGTTTACATACTGATATAACGGCATAGGAAGAAGCAGCCAACGCTATTCGAAGTGTATAGGTTCCTCTCCGATTAACATTATTCAACCAAAATAAAACTCTCCATGTGGAGGGTACATATTTATGGTTCCTCCCAACTCTTCATGTGAAAATAATTAAAGTGTAAATGAAACTTATTAGAGAAAAATAAATTTATTACTTTAACTAATTATAATATGTAGTATAGATGTTGGTTTACCGATTTACATGAGCAAAGAACCAGTTTTTTCTGTAATCACTTTTGCCCACCGTATACACTAAATCTTGATGAGGATAATAATCTGTGTATCGATCCCATAATCCATATTGTCTATAGCTGATTTTGCGTGGAATAATATTTTACACAATTAATGCACAAAATTGCTTCAATTTTTAATATAATCAATGGATTTTTTTTATGGTCCCAATAGTAATAGTACTGAGTATAACTAATAAGAATACTCATAATTATACAACTTACTTGTTATCTTTATTATGGAAGAATAATCTGTTGGCCCGCCCAGGTTTGGGATCAGGAACGAAGAACTCTGAAGCCTTGCGATCGGGTATACCAATTTCCCATAATGTTGGACCGTTTCTTGGTGGATAAAACAAAAGGTTACTAACATCAATATTATCTCCTGCATCCATCAAAAACATATTTTCCAATTTAAAATCATACTCCAATTTCAAATAATTTTTAATGCAACATTATTTGTTGGGGTGCGGCAAATTATATCGTGGGCCTTGGTTCAATTCAGATTATATACATACAATTAACATATTATGTACAATAATTGAATGTGCATAATTTGAAGCAAGATCGATATAACGATGGTTGGGTAAGGAACCTGGTTTGAGGTAAATGTTTTTTTTGTATTTAAAGTCTCCAAGAATTCCAGGGATCCAAGCGTATAAATTGTAGACTCCAGCTCTAACAGCCAAGATTTTGAAGTATCCCTTGTCGTTAGTTCGTGTCCAAAACTGATAGCCCTGATAACATCAATTACAATTTCATTTATTCATTAAATATATATACATACATCTGTTGGGATATAGGATCAACTTTAATTTGGTCCACCATTTTACAAAAAATGCAAGTATTCAAATTTAGTCATTTCACACAATATATAATTAAACACTCAAAGTAGTAAAATTCCCATTTGTCAAGGGCCAAAATATCTACAATCTAACAAATTTAAGTTGATAATACAATAAACAAACCTTGGCGTCGTGTTGCCATGATCCAGGTTTCCCAGGTAGGGCCAGCCCAATGTATGCAAATTTGGCAGCCATAAACCCTTTGCTTATGAACCTTAGATATGGCAATAAATCTCCATCTTTATTTCTCAATGATCCACACACACACACACACACATATATATGCCAAAAATAAAATAAAATAAAATAATAAAGAGTCACCTATCACTGACTAGCAATCGACCTGCAACTGTACACCGTTGATTTCTCGAGGGATAGTCATGCGACCTTGGAAAATTATATGGCCATTTTCTATTTTCTATAATTGCCTGAAACAAAAAGATTATTGACTTTAAATAATTATCATTGTAATTTTTCAAAAAAAAAAAATAATTATCATTGCATTTAAAGAATACTATCATCCATTCATCCCTTACTATTTATAGTAATATGTATTATATTTTTTTTAATATTATCATTATATTATTAATAAAAAGTGGAGGATTACCATTTCTTTAGCATTTTCCCAAAGGGTTCGTGGATTGTTGCCTGAATCTGAATTGAGATATATAAAAACAGGACCGAAAACCTTTTTCCATCTCTCCCCATTTCGTATGCGAACTGAAAACCCTTTTCCTGCGTAATGATCACTAAGAAACACCTGAAATATAGAAAGTTATCAAATTTATATACACACATACATATTAGAGTTATAATTATGAAAAAATATTACTATTTTAGTATTTTATGAGGGGAAAAAAGAGTCATACTCTATATGTGTTTGTTACGGTTTTTTAATATAGAAATTTGCAAGCATTTACTTACCATTAAGGAAGTCGGGCCAACATGTGAAGTAAGGTCTTGTTTTATAGGACCGCCAGATAAGAATTCATTGCTACCTATGATAATCCAAAATCCAACATGTGGTTTAGGGCAAATCCACCCGTGTACCTTATTGTCTTTGTTTTCTAAGGTATATTGATATTTATCATCCACCTAAATTAATAATAAAAAATACGTGTATTAGTGATCATGATAACTATCAATATTTAATATATATCGTGCACAAAAACTTAATTAAATAGTATTTTTTCTGTCTCATTTTATTTGTCTTATTTATTATTCATTAGTCAAACAAACTCTTTCTTATTTGTTTATTTTTTTTTAATATTTTTACTTATTTTTAATTTTAATTTTTTTGTGTTTCTCTCCAAAAATTCAGGTACGTACTAATCACATTGTTATTATTATTTTTTTTCCATGTAACTCAAATATAGAAATAGAAATGACAACAACATTTTAGGGATTGATGTTACCTCCCCTTTCAAACTAGGATTCAATGGCTTGGTTAATAAAGCAGCTTCTCTGAAGCCAAGGGTCTGACCATTTTTCCGATCTTCTGCGGTTGGCATCACTCTTTGAATGTCATCTGATATAGCCATATAATTGAACCTGTACACGTTATAATATCGAAAATATCAGATTATGATGATATGTTTGGTATATATCATCAGACCTTGCTTCATTCCACCAAGAATTTACTCCTAATTACATGGCAGATCCTTGTTCAAATTGACTAATTTTATATTAAATGTTAATTAATGCATCATATATTTAATAACACTATTTTTAGTTAAGTACGGTAACATATTCGATCTTACAAACTCTTTCTTAGATTGAATGCAAGTCTTGCTTCACCAATGTCCAGATCGGGCCATCCTCGAGGATGATCGAATATTGCATATGTATAGAAACCGCTCATGCGTGGCAGCATCACGTACCTGCATTATATTTGTCAATATAATATTGCAACACATATAAAAGTTATTAGTATATTGCATACTTTTTTTTTTTTTTTTGAAATATGATAAAATTAAACCTTTTGTCAACGATGAGAGGAACACTTCCTCGATCATGAGAGTTTAAGTATTTCATAAATGAAACCTCAATTTGGTTTTGGTCAGCTACTATAACCTTGAAATGTGTCGCAAAAAGACTGCACACATACACACATGACACAACATTATATTGTCAACTCAATATATACATACATACCATATATCTGTAACTATCAATTTAAATTTTTAGTTCAGGTGAAACACGTATTTCAACTATACATTTAAATATTGCATTATTTAGAGCAACCCTAGCCAGATAATTTTCAGTAAGAGCGACATATTGACCTTTTTCTTGCTTTGAGTAGGGCTGCTATAAGCAACCTAATTAAACCGGTTTACTTTCATGTGATCCTTTGTCGGTTAGGTTTTTTTTTTTTGTGCACACCCTAAGATAATAGCTGCCGAGTTTCCTCGTAACTCAAAAATAAAATTTAAAAAATTGCCATTTTTTTATTAAACAATATAGACATGATATGAGTGCAAGAGTTTGAGAGCATACAGATCAAATCTGCCATAAACGTTCTTAGAACTCCAAACAATATCCCATTCCCTGAATATGAAAAAACTTAGCAAATTTGTTAGACGTACGGATTCAATTAACCTTTTGAAAACATTATTGTTTAACCTTTTTAGTTTTTACTTACCCTCTATCTGTTTCTTTCTTAGTATATTCCAGTACATTATCAATTCCATTGTACTGAATTCCTGCAACTGATCCAGATGGATTGGTTAAGGTAACTTTGACACGCCCATTGTCCATCACCACCTGCAAATTAATAATATCATATAATTACCTTAGCTTAGCTTACCTTGTAATAATTTAATATATATACAAATTAAACACATACTAATAATAAATTAAAGATTGAATTTGGTTATGATGGAGCTTATTATTACATGTTTTTTAGTGACAGTCAATTTCAATGGCTGTGCATACTTTTTCCCATAATTCGTCGAATTCGACCTGCAATTTCAAACCACAAACATATATTCATGAAAAAACATTTCTTTAACTAACCTTTGACTTTCATCTGAAAAAACAAAATACCAAGTTGTGGCGATGGCTGCTGGGAAGACAATGAGTAGATAAAAGAGGTGAAGAACAGTTGTGAAGCAGCTTAGAAACGAGCGCCGCCCTGCGCTCCCAGATCCGATCTTTGACATCTACACATGAATGAACGCCGACAAACAAGTTTCATTATGAATATTAAATTTATATTAAGGAGTGGTTTTTATTAAGGAGTTACAAAAAAAAAAAAAAATCAATATAATAATAAGACGTCCGGATAAATATTAAGGAGTGGTTTTTATAAGGGATATAACAATTTAAATTTATATGAAGTAATGCATTAGATTTGTTCCCATAGAAAAATGCCGGGAAGTATTGTATGAAAGAAGAATTGAAGAAGAAATGTGGATATCACAGACATATAGTTTAAATTGGGGTGAAAGCCAATATGGGTCTGATATGATGCTAATGATACTTCCAATGAATTAGGCTTTAATTAATTTATAATAATTGTGGATGTGAATTATTGTGAAGTGTGCGATTAGATGGTTTAATGTGAAACAGTTGCAAGCTCCTTAATTATTAATTACCACGTTGTAACTTTCAACATATAATTCATTAACCTCAGTTAGATTTTTATTTAAAGCATTCATTATTGGATATATTAATGTGCATCAATGAATAATAATCCATAAACTATCATTTTTATCAAATATATAATAATGCATTATCAATAATGATTCAATGATCACAATACTTCAAAAGAAATAAATGCTAAATATAACAGATCGATTTAAAAATATCTCAAAGAATTGCTATTTGTATAACCATTTATTTTGATATAATGTTAATCAAGTTTGTTAATACAATTATTTAAAATTAATACTTTTGGTGGAAAAGTATTTGCATAATTTTGTTTTGCTACACCGTACTTGTCTTGATCGAATTATTCAATGATGTTATTTAAAAATAAAAAAAAACTTACATAATAAAAAGAGATACCTAATATTATAAATTAGACTACACACTAAATGTCAAACACCTTGTGCTCAAATGACACTTTTGTGCTTCTCCTTGAGGGAATGTCATATGATCGAATCCCGGTAGTGGGGTATTGACTCTTTGTACTGCAATAGATAGAGAAAGTGTAAAACATATACTATCTAGTAATAGAGTCAATAGTACTCAAAGACTGAACAATTATTTCTATAACTCCATGACAAAAACTCGTGTGAACTGTCTCAAGGATGCAAATTTTTCTGTGGACCCAGGTACTCTTGTGAACTGTCTCAAGGATGCAAATTATTATGTGGACCCAGGTCCACCTTTGCAAGGTAGATCATCTGGGTCTAAAATTACACAATTTACATAATGAATGTTTACAATTTTTATATACTAAATATTTACAATTTATATACTGAATGTTCACAATTTTATATATTAAATGTTTACAATTTTTATATACTGAATGTTCACAATTCACATACTGAATGTTCACAATTTAAATTGTGAAAATCAGTATTAAATTGTAAACAATCAATATATAAATTGTATATTTTGATCCAAAATGGACCAGGATATATGGCATAACTGTTGCTCAAACTACCTATAGGCCATTTGATGGATATATATATTCCAATTGACCCAATATTGCCGTTCAAATATACCCAAATTGGCCCAAAGCCCCAATCTGATACTATGAGTAAATTTTGCTTCTTTTAGAAAACTCCACAATACCTTTAACAGGGCGTTTGGTTGGAGGGATTTTAAATTCTCTTCTCACTTAATTCCTACCTAATTCCAAAGGCCATTAAGTTCCGTAGTTTGGTTGGAGGGAATTGCAATTCCATGGAATTGCAATTCCCCCATTTTCATGGAATTAAAATCACATGTCCCCCCCTGGTATTTTAATTCCTGGGAAAAAAAGATAGTGATGAGTCAACATTACCCCTTCCTTTTTTAACTTAAAATTAATGTCTAACAACAATAATGGACATTTTTGACTTTATACTACTTATTCCCTTTCAATTCCATGTATACCAAACATTGGAATTGAAATTCCCAGTAATTCTATTCCTGTCAACCAAACACTGGAATTTAAATTCCCACTTTATTCCCAGTAATTCAACTCCCATGGAATTACAATTCCTTTCCCACATAATTCCCCCCCCCCCCCCCCCCCCCTCCAACCAAACGCCCTGTAAAAGTTGGATATTTTGATTTAAAAAAAAAAAAGTTGAGAAATCAAGATAAGAGTATCATTAGACAAAGAATGTCTTCTTATTTTCTTCTTTTTTTCTATCATGGGCTGTATGGTTCACGGAATAGGCCTGGAATGACATAGCATTCCCAGTAATAGGCATATTCCTCTTTTTGGTAACTACTTGGAACATTGTTCTCGGGACCTATTCCCCTTGTGTTCCCCTTACAAGGGGAATAGAGATTCCTTGGCCCCCCTGGTATTAGGCTATTCCTGAGTTCTCAGGAATATCCTTAAGTTTCTATTTCCTATTTTACCCCACAATTAAATTTATTTTCTATTTCACCACCGCCACCATTGCCACCGTCGTCGTCGTCGCCACCGCCGCTACCACCACCCTAGCACCACCACCACTATCACCACCGCCACCGCTACCATCGCCATCGTCACCGCCGCCACCACCGCCGCCGCTGCCACCACCACCGCAGCCGCCACCACCACCACCACCGCCACCACTGCCACCACTGCCACTACATATTTTTATAAAGGTATTTATGTCTTTTAAAACATATTTCATTTCTATTCCTTAAATCAACTAAACACTGTAATGTAATACTAAAGCCTATTCCTTCCGCGAACCAAACAATAGAATACATTCCTTATGAAATAACATTCCTATTACTTTAAAATTCATTTCGTGAACCAAACGCGCTGTAAACGACATTATAGTGTCACCTTTTTATGGATCAATAGGGTGCTATACAATATTAAATAAATTAAGAAATATAATGAACCAAAAAGTATTAGACAAAATATCTCCTTATTTTCTTTCTTTCTCTCTCAAAGACATTGTAGTTTCAAATTTACATGGATCAATAGGGTGTTATAGGATATGAGATGGATCTCAAAATATTCAATTGCTTTTAATGAAAATATAATATTTTTCAATGAGTTAACATGTAATATATATATATATATATATATATATATATATATATATATATATATATTAAAGTATTACCGGAGTACTTTTTTTTTTTTTTTTTTAATATTAGTAAAAATGCATGTAATATTTATTTACACATAAATAATATTACATTTTTGTTAAAAAAATATTATTGATCTCGCATGTTATACCGTAAATACGGGGATATTTGTACAGTATCGATGAGCTCGGGAAACTCGGATAGAGTTGTCAAAACGGACTCAACTTGCTGGGTTGGGCTTGTTTAACCCCCTTTTTAAAGGGATGGATTGGAAATTTTTTAAACCCGAGCCGACGTCTAACCCGTGAGGGTAGTGGGCCCATTTTTAGATGGGTTGGGGATGGCGGGTTATACTAAGTGGCCAGTGTAACCTGCGAGCCTACTCGTATAAATCACCACCAACACCTTTGATATGAATTTATTTAAATATATATATTTTGTATAATTATAATAGTTTGAATTAGTGTTTAAAAATGATGTTTATTACAAGAATCATACTCCTACATTTCGCCAAGACTTTGTGGTCTAATGACATCCAGGTTGAACTCCATTCAAAAAAAAAAAAAAGACTCCTACATTTCAATCAAACTAACAATATTGAAAAGAACTATGGTAAGATCACTTGTTGAAATTCTATTTATATATTTATTTAAGTCATTGCCAATTCCCAAACATTATATATTTCGTATACAAGACTTGCAGACAAATATAATAATATACAATGAACCTTAAAACAATGAGCCTTAAAGCGATATAATAATACGATGTCAAACACAACACATGCATACATAAAAAAAAAAAAATGGTAAACATGCAACTCATATTATTTTAGATTTGAGGTGGTCATTTCTTCTTTGGCGCTTCTAAACGGATGTAGTCATACATGATTCCATAGAAGGGATATCCAGCTTTTGACTGCCTTAAGTACAATTTGTTTTCTCCTTTCACAATAAGAGATCCTGGAATCTCAAAGCTCACCTCTGAATATAGCCCATGAATTCCATGTCTTGCTATTGCATTATCCTTCCCTCCCAATTTCGATGTGAACTTGGCTTTATCCTTTTTTGGATCACCATTTACCCAAATCTACACAAAACCAAGGTCATATTAGTACGTGACTGAAGGTTTCTCTAGTCACCCAAATTAAAATTCTATCGAAATCAATTTTGTGTGGGACAGATCGATCTATAAATACATACCAAAAGGGTGGCACGGGTAGAAGAAGCCACGGCTATTCGCAGTGTATAGCAGCCTTTAGCAACTGTTTCAATTGGAAACACAACCGTCCATATAGTTGCTTCATAAGAGCCCTTGGCATTTTTCCTGCAACGTTGTCCAAGGTAACATGTATCTCAAATAATTGACCAAAAAATGCACACATGTCACGAGATTTTACCTGGTAACTTGAGCAAAGAACCAATCTTTTGCAGGATCACTTTTGCCAACTGTGTAAACTAAGTCAGTTTTGTGGAGTTCTGAATAGCGATCCCATAATCCATATTGTCTAAACCTATTATATATTCGAATGGATAATTAATTAATACAAGAAAATGGGTTAAAAATATAATTCTCTAAATAAATATAGAGTAATTACTTTTCTGTGCGATCGCTTAGTAGGTAGTTCTTTAGATCAGGGGCGGGTTCAGGGATGAAGAACTCCGCAGCACTCCGATCCGGAATGCCAATTTCCCACACCGTTGTACCGTTTTTTAGAGGAGTAAACACAAGATCGCCAACCTTAATATCACATCCTGCATGCATTATTCTTTTAAATGTATGTTCTAATATAATAATAATGTTGGGGAAAATTAAAGCACCTGGTTTGATGGTAATATCAGCCTTGTGTTTAAAGTCTCCAAGATGTCCAGGAACCCATGCGTATAAGCTGTACTCTCCAGCTCTAACAGCACTGATCTCGAATTTCCCAGTGTCGTCTGTTCGAGTCCAGAACTGATAGCTCTGTTAAAAAAAAAACATCACTGCCAACTTAATTTCTTGCCTACAAATTAAAAGTGGCCCCCACACCTCGACCTGTCGAGATGATAAATTATGGTCATGACCGATACATTTGGCGTCTGTAACTGTCACACTAATTATGTGTCCTTACACACAGAATCATCTGTCACGCATGAACCAACTAAGTTATAATTAATTTCTAAGGTCATACCATGCTATCATTTTGCCATGATCCAGGCTCCCCAGGTTTAGCTAGCCCAACGTGTGCACACTTTGCCGGCGTATCAGTTTTACCCGCGCACCTAAAATCAGGGCGCAGTAAATATAAATTATTGCATTGAAAAAATATCTTAAATAAACAAAAATTAATTAGCTAGCATTAAGGAATATAATTGGTTTACGGGTCATGGATTAGCAATCGACCGCTAACTGCTCCTCGTTGAGCTGCTTTAGGATAGTCTTCTGATTTTGGGAAACTGTACGGCCAAAGCTTGGTTTCTTCTAACATCTGGAAAAAGGTATAATAATTAGCAGTAATAATTAAGAAGATGGAAAAAAAAAATAATAAAAAAAAAATTGTTGAGAAAATGCATGTTACTTGTTTCTTGGCTCCTTCCCAGAGGGTTTTATGGTCGGTGCCTTTATCTGAGTTGATATATATAAAAACAGGGCCAAAAACCATTTTCCAAGCCTCACCACCTCGCAACTTAATCCCCCAGTCATCCCCAGAATAATGAAGGCTAAGAAACATCTGAAATATTAATCATAAACATATCCTTATGGAAATGCATATATTATATAACAAGATCAGAGCTGAGGTGGAATTTATCTACATACCGATAAGGCAAAAGGACCGCAATGACAAGTGAGATCTTGCTTTAATGGTCCACCCAAACGGAACTCATTACTTGCCGTGATTATCCAGAACCCTAGATGTGGTTTAGGAGAAATCCATCCATATACACTCATATTTTGACTGTCTAATGCGTACTGATATTTATCGTCCACCTTAATTAATAATTTAATAAAATGAGTGATTTAATCCAACACAACATTTACTTGAAGAATGGTATATATATATGCTATATATGTTACCTTCCCTTTGAGCTTAGGATTCTCAGTTTTGGTTAGTTTAACAGCTTCTTTGTAGTTCAGTACCTCACCCTCCTCTCGCTCTTTATAAGATGGCATTTCTCCTTGAATTTCATCGGTTACAGCCAGATGGGTGAACCTAGTACCAACGAAGATTAAAAACAAAATCTTTAATTTCCAATAATTCTGCATTTAAATTTCAAATTTAAACTAAAAGTTTTAATTAGTTCTTACAAGCTCCGACTTAGCTTGAATACAACCCGTGTTTGATCAAGATCAACGTCTACGCCTCCTTTCGGGTGATCGTATATGGCATATGTGTAGAAACCAGAACTTCCCGGTAGCATAACAAACCTGCGTGCATGCATGTCACAAAATCCATGAATTTACGTGCATTCACTATTAAAAATTATAAAATTTCCGACCACCTGAAAGTGATCTTAAATCAAGTCAAAAGCCTTGTTCCGACCACTTTTTGGTATCAACTTTCATGTGGCCGGAAATTTTCAGTAGTGATTTTTATGTAATTTAATATACATATCATTACACCAATAATCACCTTTTGTCAATGTTGATGGGAATATCAGTTTTATCACCGCTCTTGTATGTTTTCTTGAAGGAAACCTCAACTTGACTTTCCTTTTCCATTATTACCTTGAAATCTGTTGCTAGAATCCTTCACAATAATTATGATTACAATAACTTAAACCGTTATAAGAAGGTGGTTCAATTCTAGGCATTTAATTAAATTGATGATTCAACTCACTTAAAAGATGTACTGGCTTTCTCCTTCGGTGTATTCCAATCGAGGTCCCAATATCTATGCATTGAAGAAAATAATGGTTTTTGAAAATCTTAAAACTGTTAAGTTAATTTTACAAAAAAAGATATATATATATATATATATATATATATATATATATATATATATATATATATATTTGCTTAATTATTTTCTTACCCCCTGTCTTTTATTTTATTAGAAAGTTCCAATAAATTATCATCAACTCCTTGGTATAGAATCCCTGCAACAGAACCTTCTGGATTGCTTAAGTTGACTTTGATTATACCATTGTCCATCAACACCTGGAAAATTATCAAAGAATATAATCAATATAAATATAATATTCCCTAAATAAAATATAAGAATTTGACATATTAATTAGTGCAGCAACATTATTAAAGAAATGTGGGCATGAGATTTACCATTTCTTTCGTGACTGTCAGTTTCACAGGCTTACACGCCCTGCAGGTTTAATCACGCGGTTAATTTGTAAACATAAAAATATATTTAACTAAGGTTGAATTTGAAATGTAAATACAATTATCTCGAGAAATATGAATACCACTTCAATATAAAAATAAAAATAAAATTTACAAGTCTGATAGTTTGATTATACATTTATAAGTCAACAGTACGTACCCTAGATGTCCTCCCGCTGCCGCCGCCCCTGGTCCCTCTGCCGCCGCCCCTGGTCCCGGTGCCGCAGCTGCTCCTGGTCCCGCTGCAGCTCCCCCTGGGGCTGCCGCTCCAGCTCCCCCTGGTGCTGCCGCTCGTGCTGACGCAGAAGAATAATGAACTAGAAAAAAGAGGTGGAAGGCTATTCCAAACCACCCTGCAACTGTACGGCTTTGCTTCACTGACACCATCTTTGCCGTCTATGATGATATTTTTTTCGAGATTTCTTCCCTGGAATTATATTTTTACTATTGCATGTAATAACTGTAAGAAATATTATTTCCAAAAAGGTAATTATTCGATGTTTTTTATAACAGCAATTTGCTTCATTCTGATATCATGCATGGTTGTATTATATATTTGTTAATGTATGAATCATCATTTAATAAGGATTTGATTATATAGGGTGTTGCAGTAGTGAGGATCGGAGACTGCATGCGATGCTCTGATCTGGTCTTGCGGCATCTAACGTCCTCAGATCCGTATGTAGGATTCTGTGGTTTCTAGCTTGTCCACTCGTTCACGGGTAAATAGGTTACCTTTTTGATAACCCAGTTTGCTTTTTTTTTTTTTTTTTTTTTTTTTTTTTTTTTGAGAATGATAACCCAGGTTTATATGCCAGCTGAAATTTTTATGTTTAAACTTTTTTTTTTTTTTTTTTTTTTTTTTTTTTTTGGTCTGTAGTCATATAAAAAGAAAAACAAATAAACAAAAAATGTTGGGCCAAAGCATTTTTTTTTTTAAAAAAAAACGAAATATTTTGCAATACAATTTCGTTTTAGTACAGTTATTTTGCTTTAGTAATACTACTATCTCTTTCCATTCCTATTAGGGCGGAGTTATACTATTTTCGGTCACTAATTAATATTTTGTTTGTTTTTATCCATGTTGATATATTTTTTGAGAATTTTAAAATTGATACCATTAAAATATATAGAATTTGATTTATATTAATTAAGCATAAAATACACACTTGGGTTTTATATATGTAGGGGAGGGTTCAGGTGAGAACACCTCCCCTTAAAAAATGTGGACATATTTACACTCTCCATCTTAAGAAATTAAAGGTTAGGATCTTAACTTGTAATTGATGTGGTAAATAGACCGAATTATACGAATAGGTACTAGTATTTGAGTTCAGGAAGGCAGGAAGCAATAACAGTGAGTCGGAGGTTCCTGAGCTCAATTATTTTATATTGGAAGACAAATGTAGATAATGGTGCTCGGCCCGGTCATGTCATCCTTAGACTAGTCAGACATCTCGTAGCACGTGGACGCCTCTGTGCGGCCTCCAAGACTACCGATTCTACGCCCCGGCTTACCCATATCAATCGATGCCAACTGTATACCTGCAACAAATGTATATGGCAGCCCTAGCCGGGCCCGAAGCGATGCCTACAGGGGGGCTTGGGCAAGGGTACCCGAACTCCTGTCGGATTTAGTGAGAACAGATACAGAGCTTGGCCTTGAACGGTCAGGAATACTAGCTAGTCCCTGGTTAATCATGTTCACGGCATCGACAGGAGCTACTCCTCCTATAGGAGTTTGGTTGAGGTCCATTCGGGGGTTCGAGATGATCGTGACCGAAGATCCTAACTGTTGTCCTCAAAATCTACTTCATTAGAGAAGTCTAGGTATGGATACATGATCGAGATCGGTAGAAGCATAATGGATAGCTTGTTAGAATTGGTCGCCACAAACGGCGCCAAAATGATGTGGTAAATACACTGGATTATACGAATTAGTACTAGTATTTGAGTTCAGGAAGTAATGATAGTGGGTCAGAGGTTCCCAAGCAAGTATAGGTTAGGTGAAAGTCCTCCAAAAATCCCCTCTTCTTAGCAATAAATGTGCTATTTATAGGGGCTAGGAGGGAGCACATGTTGAGGACTTGGCATGCATGCCACGTGTTTCTCATGCACTCGAGGGTCTTAGAGGCCGTGCAGAGGCGTCTACGTGTTATGAGATGCCTGGCTAGTCTAAGGATGACGTGACCGGGCCGAGCACCATTATCTGCATTTATTTGTCTTCCAGTATAAAACAATTGAGCTCAAGAAACCATCCCGAGATCTCTAAAGTCGAGACCGAGCCTAAGGTTCGTCGTACAAAAGCTCATATACTGAATTATGGGTTCGTATCCCAACTCGGATCGAGTCGGACCCGTATAATGGTGATTGTGGTCGGGAATGGGTCCTTGTGAAGTACTGGGTATATGCTGAGCAGGTATACGGTCACGTGCCTGAGGAATATTTCCCATCAGTAATCAATGAGGAGAAAAAAACACGAGGGTAATTTTATAATTTTCTCGACCATATATATATGTTTTGGTGGTGCATTAAGTGTCGGTGTATTGTGCTCTTATGAGTGCTCTATAGTGCATTACGTGATGCTCTGTGGTATACCTCCAAGTGGCTGAAAATCAATCAAAATGAAAAATACGCAATCACAATTAAGTAATTTTGTACCATGTATATTTCGATAGTGCACTAGGCGCTGAAGTGTGGTGCATTTTTTGGTGCTATGTGGTGCACCACCAAAAAGAGAAATACAATTTGAGTTCTCGTGTACACGTTGAGTAGTACCATTGGACCAACAGGTCTGTTGAACTCGTTAACGGGTCTATTGACACCCTCGTTGAGTGGTACAATATTAAGTAGACTACAAATCAAGGGCACCACATATTACTCAAAAGTATACCACACACTAGAAACTGCCGAAATATACATGATGCAGGAAATTACGTAATTATCACCGCATATTTTCTCTTCTTCATTAATTTCCATCCCTCGTATATATGTGCTATTTAATTACTTATTTTGTTTTAAATCCTTTCTTATTTACTACCAAAAAAAAAAATCTTTTACTTCATTACAATTATCAAACTAAGTAAATTTTTTTTTTTTGAGAGGATCAAACTAAGTATTTGATTCCAATGTTTAAATTAAACTCGTCTTTCCTGTGATTGACTTTTATTATGCATTTAATTTTTATAGGCAGATTTTGCATTTGCTGTTGAGTTTTAGTTACAAAAAAGAATATTAAATAAAATAAAATTGGCGCATATTAGATAGAATGACGTAAAACTATAAGGAGTTGTTTAGGATCTGTAGTATTTCAACATTTCAGTTGATCGAGGAAAAAAATATAAATATAATTTTAAATTGATTCTGATTTCTGACTATACAAAATTACAAATTTAAATTTTTTTAATATAGTGTTAATTAACTTCAAAGTTCCTAATTTTGACCAACTACCAACGTCAACAGATATAGTATTTAATTTTCTGATGTCTACTTATATTTCATTGGAAAGTTACCAAATTCTTTCCTAAGGTAGGATTATTATGCACTTACCGAAATCGACCTACGCATCCTGTACAAATTAGTGGGCGTTCAACAGTATTTGCCTATTTGGCTATTTGGCTCAACCACCAGAACCATTTCCAAATTTCAAAAGCAAATTTTGACTAACTAATAAACTCGTAGCTTTTCCTAATAATAATAATAATAATAATAATAATAATAATAATAATAATAATAATAAAACTTAATTATTCTTCCCCAAAAGGTTGAATCCTCAATTCTAAGTACCCCCACCCGACAAAGCATGTGAGAAGATGTAAATCACGTCAATGGCGGACCTACAATGGCCCCCACTGCCCCCACTGACCCCTCCCTAATTTAAGGTTTTATACAATATAAATATAAGATTTGCGAAAGGTTTTAGTAGCTTAGTTGGTAGAGACCTTGGATTGTTTATGATAGGTCATGGGATCAATTCCCACTAGTAGTGTAATTTTAGTTTGTTTGTTGGTTTTTTTCTTCTTCTTCTTTTTTTTTTTTTAATTTTATTTTATCCATTCCAATCCTATAGTATTTTTAATTTCTTTTATTTATTTTAACCCTTTCAATCCTTTAATAAATTAAATATTTTTTAAGTCTAATTTTTTGTGAATCATTTAGTTAATGTAGTCCGCAAGTTTATATTATACTTCATTGTATTCGAATTAATTTAGAAAAATTAAAAGTTGATATAACTACAAGAAAATTAAAATTAAATTATTTAGGAATATACTATCTTTTCTATTCAAACTATGTTATCTAATCAATTATCAATTATGTTTCATATATTTTATAGCATTTCAAAGTGTTTAAATATTTAACCCTACCCAAGTATAGTTTTGGCTCCGTCCTTAACTATCTTGTCGTCTATCATAAATATTATTGTATTATATTTATAATGTATTTGAACCATATTATAGATGTTTGATATTTTTTCATTGACAATTTTAAAGTCGTAGCGAATTCTTCAGATAAAATTGTGAAAGATGCAATTTTTTCTTAGAAGTGAGATCTAGAGTTAAGTATGCCCCCACTCACATTATTTTCTGGGTCCGCCACTGAATCACGTGACTCAATGGTTTAGTAGAAACTTAATTATTCTTAGGTTGACAAGTTGACAACCTTCGACTAGGAAGAGTCAAATTAGAAACTAGCTGGCGTGTCGTCATCTTCTTACTGGAAACATTAAATTAAAGTAGAAGTACAATAAGACTAAAAACATCCTACAATTCTCCCAATTACATCATGACATGGCATATTCACACTGATAATCTTTGTAGTTTTTTTTTTGCTAATTATTATTATTATTATTATTATTATTATTTTGACGAAAAAAATCACAACCATTATCTAAAAGTGTGCATTTTATTATTGTTGCTGTTGTTGAAAGTGAGTTGAAATTTTATATATATATATATAGAAAATAGTGAGTGAATTGTAAATACAGTAATATGACAATAAATTTACTTTTGAAAGTGAGAATATTTCATGGATAAATTTAATTTAAAATCAGTCTAATATTAACATTCGTTCTATTTGACGTATTACTATATTAAATTATTATTATAAAAAATTACAATTTTAGTTTTTGAGTTATAAGATATGTGTCCTTTTTGTCCCTAATTAAGGGTCCGTTTGGAAAGCAGGAAAATGACTTCTGAAAAATGTTTTCTGGAAACATTTTCATTTTCAGTGTTTGGTTGCATTCTGGAAAACTTTTTTTGTATGTTTCGTTCATTTTCTGGAAAATGAGTAGAATTGTATAATTAAACATTTTAATTATTTTATTTAGAATATTACAACATGTATAATAATATATAATAATATAATAATAATTTTAAATATAATAAAAAATAACTAATAATATATCAAAAATATTATGGTGGTGGTGGTGTTATTTGTTATATAATAATAATAATAATAATAATAATAATAATAATAATAATAATAACTGGTACGTGGTGGTATGACGGTGGTGGCAGTGGTGGTGATGTGGTGG